TTATTTTTGGTAAAGACAAAAAACAGAGAGCCAGACGGACAGAAAGGCAGATAGACATGTTTTTAAACAGAAAGACAGACGGTGTAGATGGACATACAGATATCTATATTAGCACAAACATCTCTGATTCATTACGTTTGTATTGAAACTATCTTATCTCATGTGTTTGTAAAATTGTACAACGAATTTAGCACTCAAAATGGGGATCTATAACCACTTGCAAAGCAACAGTTAACTCCGAATATAGCTCCTCATCAATATTTGTAGCACAATTTAGTTAAACCAGAGACACAGATAACATGTTATCTATGTCTCTGGTTAAACCATGGAGCTCAACAACAATTTGAACTGCTTACTGTGACTGTAAAATAAATTTTCTCCCTTTTTTGGAATCACAATTTTGAAATTACATAATCATTGTAAATTATGTATCTGTTTTTGACTCCCCTGACATCTCATATATCACTAGTATGTAAAAAAGATAATATACTCGTATCACACTCAGTATTACCTTTAAATTCTTATCTTCCAAATGTAATTAAAATGAAAACATAGTAGATATCATACACAATGACATTTTTATACCAAAAACTAATGATCTGTTTATAAATATCATGCATTTATGATTCTAACATTAATAATTTATTCTAGATTTCGTGCATTGTTTACCCAAACACGCTTCCGTAGTTACATTTTGAAGCTACCCAGGATTAACTTAAATTTGTTTATTTTTATTTTTCATACTTCATAAACATCTTATTATCAAAAGGAATGTTAATATATAGGCTAATGATTATTTATATCTCATGAAAATTGCAAAATCTTTACTGTTTTAAACGACAAACGCTGATTTATATACACGCGAAACCCCATTACAATTCATTCATTGTATTTCATATTTGGGCATGTACAAGGCTAAAAGTTGTAAAAACCAAGTAAATATAATATAAAAATTTATACATACTTTGCACAACAGCTTCTAAATCCAACTCCAAGTAGTAAATGTGTAAATTTTGATATATTTAAATCGCGCGGCCTCATAACTTTTGTTTACCTCGACACCGGTTACAGTATAAAACTCTGTGTATGGTGTACATGCAGAGCCATATAAAAACTCGAAACAAATGCAAAATTTGAATTGCTTTTTTTACTGGTTTGCCATGGTTAGATTTTTTTAGGGTTTTTACCTGTTTTATATGATGTGTATAACAAACTAAAAATGTAAAAAAAGCTTGTGTTGCAATTTGTTTGACGTTAAATTTTACTTTAATCGGACTATTCTAAGCGAGATTAAGATACGTTGAAAAAAAATTCAAAGAATAAAAATGATTAATGGTGATAGCAATACTAGATTTAAAGCGTCATTTTCATGCACTACAATTTATCGTTGGCGAAAAACAGCTTAAGTGTTTGAATATTCAGTCCTACGCATAAACCCAAGATTTCCAGTTTTCCCCCAAAATTTGCTATCTCTGGCCAGTGATGAGCATTTGATTATAATTACATGGCTTGTCACAGTATCACTGATAGCAGCACCCTAGAATGTTTTATGATTCTGTCATGTTTCAAGAATGTATAGTTTAAGCTGTAGGATATAGAGAACATTTCAGATATAAGGAAAACGAAGATTTTCATAGGTACATTCAATTTTGACTAAAAAGACTGGATTACATTAAAAAAAGGTTTTTAATCATTTACAACTCGCAATCACAGGGACTCAGTTCCGTGTTGGGATAGTGAAGGGTAAAATTAATTTTAGAGAAAAAAAAATTATAAGTATTTTTTTCTAAAATTGCTTTTTACACTACCCCAACACTGTGCCGAGTCCCTGTGATCAAAATAAAGATACTAATGTAAATTACTTTCATTCAATTTGGTAGAAAAAAGATCACTGAATGTGAAAAAAAATTGTAAAAAAGGTAGCAAAATGTAAACAAAGTAGTATTTTGACTTCCATGCAAAATACTAAATCACTTTTACTATACCAATTGCAAAAAAGAAGAAAATAGTAAAATAATGATGACCTTTAAATTTATAGTAAAGTTATAAGTTCAAAGAGAAAATATCTCTTGAAAATAAGATGCTAGAGTTATGAACCTTGTCATGCATGATGTAAGTAATGACAAAGAACAATTATTTTAAGTCTAGAGTAGATATCATTTCTAATAACAAAGATTATACTTAGAAATATATGAATTTTACCTAAATTCCAAGTTCAAAAATGAAATGGAGATAATTCTAGAAATACAGCTAGAGTTATAAATCTATTCGCACCTGATATAAGTGTTAAGAAACATATTTTGAAGTGCAAAAAATATCAAAATACAAAAATAATATATAAACAAGAGCTGTCACAGAACGTGACAAATGCCTCAAAGGATTCTAGTTATAAACCACCTATTACATGCTAAGTGTGGTGGTAAAAATTGACATAGTTTGAACCCCAGCAGTGACCTTTAAGTTAGACAAAGAAACCTGGGTTAGGTTCACAACAAATTGTCCATCTATGGTGACTTAATATTTTTTTTAAAAAAATTGAAACTTTCATGTATGGAAGTTACAGAGCAGACACAATAACCACCATTAAATTTTATATGTATATAACATAAATATTGAAAAAGTTTAAACCTCAGCAGTGATCTTGAACTAAGGCATAGGAACACGGGTCTAAAGCACAACACATCATATATTTATGATAATTTCATATGCGAAATAAAAAATATAATCCTTTTATTCATATTAGTTTTAGAGCAGACACGACCATCTCTGCCTATATGTATATTAACATCAAAATTGACAAAGTTTGAACCCCCACAGTGACCTTGATGAGTCTTGTTCGTGGCACACAATATATCTATGGTTATTGAAATATGTGAAAGAAAAATGCATACTGAAGTTTCAGAGCGGACACGACCACCACCTTCTATATTTATATAACATAAAAATGACAAAGTTTGAACCCCCACAGTGACCTTGACCTTAGTCGTAGGAACCCGAGTCTTGTTCGTGACACACCATACATTTATGGTTGTTTAATATATGAAAGAGAAATTAAAATTCTTTCATGCATACTGAAGTTTTTAGAGCGGACAGGACCACCACCTTCTATATTTATATAACATAAAAAATGACAAAGTTTGAACCCCACAGTTACCTTGACCTTAGTTGTAGGAACCCGAGTCTTGTTCGCGACTCACCATACATTTATGGTTTTTTCATATATGAAAGAAAAATTAATACTTTCATGCATACTGAAGTTTCAGAGCGGACACTACCTCCACTGTCTTTATGTATAAAACCTGACGAACTGACAGACAGACAGACGGACGGTTCGATTTTAATATGCCACCCTTCAGGGGCATAAAACATCTAAGTTCAAAGGGGAAATAATTCTGGAAATATTCATGCTAGAGTTATAATTCTTGTCACACATGTATAAGGAACATATATTTTTAAGTTAGAAGTAGATACCCTAAGAAATAAAGAAGTAAGTAAAAAGGTAACCTTTTTTTTTAGGAAAAAAATGAGTTCATGGGGAGATAATTCTGGAAAAATATTGGTGCTAGAGTTAACAACATTGTCACATATGATGTAGTTGATGGTAAGGAACACATATTCGAAGTTTAAGTCAATCCCTTATTATGAAATAGAAAGAGAAAAAAATACATTATTTTATGGAAAGTTATATGTTCAAGGGGATATAGTTCTGGAAATACTGGTTTTTGAGTTTAACACCTTATCACATGATGTGTATGATCATAAGGAATACATGTGTACATATAAGGAAAATATTAATGACCCTTCGGGACGGGACTAATTTTTACCCCAGGGCTTTGATCTGAACAAACTTGATAGACACTCAGTATAAGATGTTTCATGCCAAATATCTAAGCTCTAGCTCTTTGGATTTTTTAAAAGAACATTTTATAAGGGTTTTTTTCTGTTGCTATGGCAACCAAAGTTCTGCATGGAATTTTATTCTTTGAACATGGTAGAGCCTTATGCAAGGAACACTACTGCAAAGTTTCAACAAATTTGGCTAAGTGGTTTAGGAGAAGAAGTCATTTAAAGAAATTTTTGACGCACGGACATTGTCCTCAGATGAGCTAATAAAAAAGTTAGCGATAAAATGTTAACTGCATAAAAGCATTAATTTAAAGTATGTACGCTGGCGCCGGCTTACAAGCCGAGATGATTAGGACAGCTCTCCATATATTTAATATAGTTGAGCTAATAATAAAAATATCACTTACCTGGTCACTTAGTTAAGAGTCTTGCACTAAAATTGCAGTAAATACAATGTTTTTGTTTTCTTTTTGTTTTTAAGCGGTTTTTTTTTCGGGGTGGGGGTGGGTAGGCAGTTCACTCAGTAACATGAGTAACACTGAACAGTGACACTTTACTATGGACGAAGATGATTATCACTTATAAAGTATATATCCTAACATATAATTCATTTAGTAACTAAAATTTATCTTGTGATATTAAGTATTAATATTTACAAAATAATTCAAATTATTGCTAAAAGTTTCACAATTAAAAACATCGATAAAAGTTAGAGTATGTTCAGAAATTTGATCCTTCAACGTTAGGGCCATTAGATAAGAATACAGAGGGCCAATTAATAATGACAAGACTCTCAACTCAGTTGACGTGTTAATGGGAGATATACAGTTAATAGTGATTTACTAGCTGATAAGCCCTTACTGAGATTCAGCAGGCTGGGAGGGTTTATGCGTAGGACTGTATTGGCCGTACCGGATATCTTTACTCGAAAAACTACTGATGAGAATAGTATGTACCCTGATAATAGTAAGGAGTGTATAATAAATCTATTGTGATAATTATTATTAGTTTTTGTAAATATAACCTAGTCAAAACGCATATAGAAACTTGATTCCTGAACAACAACACAAAACTTAAACACTCACGTATCGTTTAAAAAGTTTTATTGAATTTTCGCATCATATGAAAAATTCAATATCATAGAACATATTCTCGATAAAGTTTGAATAAATCAAGATGGCCAAAAATTGACGAAAACAACTTTCATTTCCTATCGATTTCTTTTTAATTATCGCCGAAAGAGAAATTGATTCTTTATTAATAAAAATTGGTATTGTTTAGAAAAACAAAATACGTCATTTTTTCAGTGACTGTAAAACGAGACATTTTTAGAATTACAGGAAATCAGGTTCTGCTTTTCTTTACGATTTACGGATATGACATAAATTCGGATAAAAATTAAAATTCATGATTAGCAAAAGTATTATCGGTGAGAATATTTTGTATCATGCAGCTTTAAGTATAGGTTAAAGTTTATTAGTATGTATTTACAAAAATTAATTGTTCAGGCGACCAATTTATCGTTGGAAATACATACTAATAAATTTTAACCGGCTTAGAGTTTTAATTTATTTCGTTAAACAGTCGATTTACTAGACTGGTTACCAGTTTGCCGATTTACTAAAGTAAATGTGTTATGATTCATTTGAAATACTGCAATCCTTGGACCTATTGGAAAAAAATAATTTCAAACACTTACAGTGTTCAATCTAGAGCGCGCCATTGCGCCATTGACCCCCTGAAAAGACCGCTGGCGCAAAACAAATTCAACTGTGGGCCCGATGGGCGCACTCATAGAAAATGCCCTAAATGACATAAGAATGCTTTCTTAAACCTGATTAAGTACATAAAAAAGTTTCTTGTGAATAATATTAATAAATACTGAATTCAAAACTGAAGTTTGTATAGAAAAACAAGAGGCATGTTGGTAAGATAGTTAACCGCACTCGGTAACCTTTTTAAAACCTTGATCGCTACGCTCTCTCGGGCGGGGTCTGTAAATACTATGTAGACTTGTTATTCGTACCGTAACTATTACTTACTTTTGAGTCACAGTTTTTATAAACAAAACAAATCGTCACAGATGATCCAATACGTGCGTGTAGTTATATTTTTATCACGGTCAAAAGTCATAACTTTCCGAAAGGAAAAAAAAACTATATATTTGTGAAAAGTGCGAGTTAATTATAGAGAAGTGTGCATAAATTATTACGAACACGCCTTCATCCAATTAAAAAAGTCTTAAAGATAGAGCTAATCAAACACGATTGGCAAGGGCGTGTCTGACAATTGAGTAAATAAACTTTGATTGGTCTTTGGCTGGTCGGCGCTAAAACATTGTGCATATCATTAATCAATACAGACATCTTAAGAGTGACGTAAGAACTGCTGCCCTGACAAAAGATCAAAGGTACCGGTATGTCAATATACATTGTCTTAGCACCTGTTGACACTTTGTTTTTGGCTTGGATATATTGAGAAGGTTAAATGTTTTAGCGACTATGTAAGTTTATAGTCTTCATCAACAAAGCTAATTGGGAAATATGATTTATTTTTATACATGTATATCGGGTGCTGATTAAAAAACTGAACATTATTATCAAATATATCCCTGGTAACATTAAAATAAGATTCATATGTTTCTTTGAACATTATGTCATCGTTTCTTTACCAATAGTAATAACGCTAACAGAACTCTCAAAAAAAGTCAAATTTTTTTTTTTTTAGTGAGTTGATTGTTTTCGAATTTTGCAACCGTTTTTAGTCTATATATGGTACGTAAACAAGTAACTTAAAAAGATACAATACATTTTTTGAATTTGATGTTCTTTTAAGTGTGGGCCCCCTTTTTTCACAAATGACCCCCTTTTTAAAAGTTTATGGGCCCGAAGGGCCCCCTGGAAAATTGTTCTAGATTGAACACTGCACTTAAGACTATTAAAGACTTATTTATTCACTTATTATTGTATTTAGGGTATTTTAGCTTTAACCTGGTAACCTTTGTTTTTTAGTTCAACTAGTTAATGTGGAGAACTTTTATAAAATTTTTTCAGCCCTAAGCAGATCAGTGTATTCATGAAATTGGAGGACAGATTTTATGAAAGTAGGCAAAGCCTATGATTTTGGAAGTCAGATATAAAAAAAAACGTTTTATTTTATTATTTTACATTAAAAGATTTAAGTGTTAATTAATATTTTTATGCACTGCTTCCGTTAATCTGGTTCCATATTGTCTTATTATGGTTCCCATAGAAGTGCTCAGGAGACCAGTTTACGCGTATATTTTCAATAAGAATTCAGTTGCTATTTGTCCATTTTTGGAATACCCTCATTTATCATTGCATTACGGTGCCGAACAATATTAGAAATAACATTTCAGAAAGAAATTCCAAAAACTAATATTTTTGTTAAGCACTTTTTTCTTATAGTAGCATATGAATTTATAACTTGATATCATTCTAAGACAGATTCATCTAGCATCAGTGTCAGTAGATAATCCTGACTGATATGCAAGAAAATGTTTATAAAGTGCTCTCCATGCTTTTATTGTGACCATTTTCAACTTGATATACTATGATTTGAGGAAAAAGTTGAGCTATAGTGATAACTGGATTTGGAGTCATTTCGGCCCCAAGAGGTATCGGCCCCAAATTTCCCAAGACATTTCGACCCCGGACGTTTCGGCCCTTTACCAAAACGGCCCCATATTTAGTTAAGAATAAGCCTTACCTTAACGTGTTTTATACCAGAATTTTAATAGCATATAAATAATGAAATAATAAAAGGAATGAGAGAATTAATTGAATAATTAAATCATGATTTTTAATTGAATAAGGCTAAAATAGTAGTAATCAAGAACATAAACTTTATTAAACAAAACATAGTACACGAACACTGAAACATATTTTATGTGCTTATTATCAAAAAGCTTTTTTCAAATTTGAACGATTAAAAAGCAAGACACAGAACAATTTAAACATTTATTATCAACAGCTATTAAAATAATAGTAAGTGACGAGTTTTAGCAATACAATACAACACATTACAGTTAAAAATTTATAAGATAAAACAAACAATACTTTGTAAACAAACATTTTTTACAATAAAAGTGATAGGTTTTCAATCAGAGCATATATTATCAAGAAATTATATCAAATATTAAGTTAAAAAATCTTTGGTATTACTAACGGATAATTAGCAATACGCTATAAATAATTAATTTGTTAAACCTTGAAAAAAAACATATATCTAAAGTGTTAGCAAAATGATTAATAGAGATCAAAAGATAATGATTTTTGAAGTATATTTGTAATTAATTTTATTAATCAAAAAGTTTTCTGCATTTGTCAACTGTTTTATAAAATAACGATTAAGTGTCTTTATTTAGTTGTATTTATTGTTACACCTTGAAAAAAGCATTTATCTAAATAGCGATTGATAGATCTATAATGGATTATCAATCAAGGATTAAAATGTCATAATTGTTTGTGTGCCATCAATCAATCAATGTACTACAATTTTTTTACGATTCTAAGTATGAAAATTCCTTTTATACTTAAATTAAACAGTAATAAAAAAGGGCCGAAATGTCTCGCGGAAAAGGGCCGAAAAGTCCAGGGGCCAATTTTTGCATAGGGGCCAATTTGGTTTGGGGCCGAAACGTCCTGTTTGCGATAGCTGTGTTGTCTTTGTCCTTGTCATCATTGTTGTTGTTGTTGTGATAAAACTTAGCCCATAATGGGGCATTATTAAAATGTACATTTTAAAATTTATCAGCATGAAACTGGACATACTTGCTTATTATGACGAGGTGTAGTTGTTAGACAAAGGGGCATAATTCTGAAATCAATTTTTTTGAGTTTTTTTGTTTTTTTTTAACTTTTTTTTTTAACTTAATTTTTGAAAGACAAGCATTAATACAGCAAATGGTATTGTATTTTTACAGATATACAGAGATGACTAGTGTAAAGAATATAGCATCTTGCCAGGAGAGACATTTTGAGACTATTTATAATAATGTAAACAGATCAGTTGTGTTTATTGACACAGTATCTGCCGAACTACTACATTGGCAAGGGGGTCTTCTCAAACTTATAAATGCTGGAGCAACTGGTCTGAAGGAGTTTTCTTCTTTTGAGGTAAAGTCTGATTTTTTAAAGTTATAAACTTAGCTATTATATGATCTAAATATAGCTGCAATCTCATTGGTCCAAGCAGTAGTAAACAGAGCGATTTATTTAATCTGCTGGTGAATATCACATCATATTCAATGCCTCACTGGTCATTAAACAAGGCTTTTTTTTCTTCTATAGCAGGAGCTTCAATAGGGCTGCTTCCCCAAAGAAAAATTCTATAAAATCATGCAGTTTTCCCAAAAACTGAATTTACATCAAGTTTGTTCTTCCCCATCTGCAAATATATACAAATGTACTGTGTAATTTTCCCCCAAAATTAAGGGAAGGGCTGCTTCCCCAACCAGTAAAAAAAGCCCTGATAATTGAATTTATTTCTTTAGATTCATGTCTCTTTTTTTACTTCTTAAGTGTTGAAGGATCATCGATGACAAGAACTGTGTTGAAATTTGGAAAATTACAAAATTTGAAATAAATATATGTACATGCACATGAATTAATGAGGTAGAAAAGTTGTTTTTTCAACATATATATTGAGATATTTACAGCATTACTTTAAACATGTTCTTCATGTATAACACAACATAGCTTTAAACATTCTATAAATCCCTCTCATGTATTTATGAGAGAAAAAAAGAAATTAACCCTTAGCCCAAGTTGAATACAAAAATATATTTAAGAAATTCAAATTTTATGTTTTCAGACTTTTGGACCTTAGTATAGTTTCTTTAATTAAGTCATATATCTTAATTTTTAATTTAACCAGAGTGGGTCAAAAGATCAGAAGAAAGGTGTTTTCATCATAAACAGTCTGTTAGAAGGTGTGACAAGAGAAATATTAAAAGATATTATACAGGCTAGCAGCTTCCAGGTGAGCCTTGTGTGTACACTGTTTTATCACATAAACCACAGCACAGGAGTGTACATTTGTAATACATGTACTAAAGCCATTTAATAAAAAACAATATTATACTGGTGTAAAATTTGCGTTACTCACAAACATAGTGTTCAGCGCATAAATGTTAGTGTTACACTATAGTTTCGTCAATGAAAAAATGACTGTTTTTAACTGTAAAACCTTATTTTAGGTATGTGATAAATAGAATATTATATTCATGTAGTTTCAATACTAAATTTATTAAACTAATTTTCTACATTTGAAAAAAAGTGACTGTTTTACATAGGGTTGTTATTTAGGAGAATAGTAAAAAATAATTTTGTTTGCTGTGGCTTTGACCAGAAGGCAGTCTATTACTAACAAACAAAGAAAATGATGTTATTTGTTCACTAAAACTCAATGTTTATTCTTTCTCACATCAAGTATGTGGTAGTATTCACCAGTCAAAGTGCGGCACTACATGTTTACAGTCGGTCTGGTGTGGTTGAGGAGGAATCCGACTTCTTTGACCAGGTTGAGGAGAGACTTCTAGAATGGATGGGAAATATGGTATGCCTATTTTTGTTTTACGGGTCTCACGTTTATCCGTTTAAATGGCTTCTCTCTACCCAGAGATCATTGGTTCAAGCCCTACAAAGATCACAACTATATTTCTTCATATGGCACCAGTACTGGTTGGTTCTAGGAAGGGTCTCGAAAGTGTTTAATATAAGATGCAAGAATTTGTTTCGCAATCCAGCTTAAATAAATGTGTTTAAACCTAACAGGTTTGGTCTGTATTTAGCTTAAAACCGGTTAGAAATTTCCATAACCGGTTGAGAGAGTGGGTAAAATGGAGCTGTTGAGAGAGTGTGGGGTAAAATGTAGCTGTTGATAGAGTTTGGAAAATGTAGCTGTTGAGAGAGTGGGTAAAATATAGCTGTTGAGAGAGTGGGAAATAAAGCTGTTTGAGAGAGTGGGTAAAATGTAGCTGTTGAGAGAGTGGGTAAAATATAGCTTGTTGAGAGAGTGGGTAAAATGGGGCTGTTGAGAGAGTGGGTAAAATGTAGCTGTTGTGAGAGAGAGAGTGGGTAAAATGTAGCTGTTGTGAGAGAGAGAGAGAGTGGGTAAAAATATAGCTGTTGATAGAGTGGGAAAATGTAGCTGTTGAGGAGTGGGTAAATGTAGCTGTTGAGAGAGTGGGTAAAATATAAGCTGTTGAGAGAGTGGGTAAAATGTAGCTGTTGAGAGAGTGGGTAAAATGTAGCTGTTTGAGAGAGTGGGTAAAATATAGCTGTTGAGAGAGTGGGTAAAATGGAGCTGTTGAGAGAGTGGGTAAAATGACGCTGATGTGAGAGAATGGGTTAAAATATAGCTGTTGTGAGAGAATGGGTAAAATATAGCTGTTTGTGAGAAAATGGGTAAAATGTAGCTGTTGTGAGAGAATGGGTAAAATGTAGCTGTTGAGAGAGTGGGTAAATGTAGCTGTTGAAGAGAGTGGGTAAAATGTAGCTGTTGATAGAATGGGTAAAATGGAGCTGTTGAGAGAGTGGGTAAAATGTATGTGATGAGAGAATGGGGTAAAATGTAGCTGTTGAGAGAGTGGGTAAAATGTAGCTGTTGATAGATTGGGTAAAATGTAGCTGTTGAGAGAGTGGTAAAATATAGCTGTTGAGAGAGTGGGTAAAATAAAGCTGTTGAGAGAGTGGGTAAAAATGTAGCTGTTGAAAGAGTGGGTAAAATCTAGCTGTTGAGAGAGTGGGTAAAATAAAGCTGTTGAGAGAGTGGGTAAAATAAAGCTGTTGAGAGAGTGGGTAAAAATGGAGCTGTTGAGAGAGTGGGTAAAATGGAGCTGTTGAGAGTGTGGTAAATGGGAGCTGTTGAGAGTGTGGGTAAAATGAAGCTGTTGAAGAGTGGGTAAATGGAGCTGTTGAGAGAGTGGGTAAAATGACGCTGATGTGAAGAATGGGTAAATAATAGCTGTTGTGAGAGAATGGGTAAATATAGCTGTTGTGAGAGAATGGGTAAAATGTAGCTGTTGTGAGAGAATGGGTAAAATGTAGCTGTTGAGAGAGTGGGTAAAATGTAGCTGTTGAGAGAGTGGGTAAAATATAGCTTTTGAGAGAGTGGGTAAAATGTAGCTGTTGAGAGAGTGGGGTAAAATAGCTGTTGAGAGAGTGGGTAAAATAAAGCTGTTGAGAGAGTGGGTAAAATCTAGCTGTTGAGAGAGTGGGTAAAATATAGCTGTTGAGAGAGTGGGTAAAATAAAGCTGTTGAGAGAGTGGGTAAAATGTAGCTGTTGATAGAGTGGGTAAAATATAGCTGTTGATAGAGTGGGTAAAATATAGCTGTTGAGAGAGTGGGTAAAATAAAGCTGTTGAGAGAGTGGGTAAAATAAAGCTGTTGAGAGAGTGGGTAAAATGGAGCTGTTGAGAGAGTGGGTAAAATGGAGCTGTTGAGAGTGTGGGTAAAATGGAGCTGTTGAGAGTGTGGGTAAAATGAAGCTGTTGAGAGAGTGGGTAAAATGGAGCTGTTGAGAGAGTGGGTAAAATGACGCTGATGTGAGAGAATGGGTAAAATATAGCTGTTGTGAGAGAATGGGTAAAATATAGCTGTTGTGAGAGAATGGGTAAAATATAGCTGTTGTGAGAGAATGGGTAAAATGTAGCTGTTGAGAGAGTGGATAAAATGTAGCTGTTGAGAGAGTGGGTAAAATATAGCTGTTGAGAGAGTGGGTAAAATGTAGCTGTTGATAGAGTGGGTAAAATGGAGCTGTTGAGAGAGTGGGTAAAATGTAAGCTGTTGATCAGAGTTGGTAAAATGTAGCTGTTGAGAGAGTGGGTAAAATATAGCTGTTGGAGAGAGTGAGTAAAATAAAGCTGTTGTTTTTTTTTTTTTTGGAGAGTGGGTAAAATCTAGCTGTTGAGAGAGTGGGTAAAATGTAGCTGTTGAGAGAGTGGGTAAAATATAGCTGTTGAGAGAGTGGGTAAAATAAAGCTGTTGAGAGAGTGGGTAAAATGTAGCTGTTGATAGAGTTGGGTAAATTCTAGCTGTTGAGAGAGTGGGTAAAATAAAGCTGTTGAGAGAGTGGGTAAAATAAAGCTGTTGAGAGAATGGGTAAAATGTAGCTGTTATGAGAGAATGGGTAAAATATAGCTGTTGAGAGAGTGGGGGTAAAATGTAGCTGTTGAGAGAGTGGGTAAAATGTAGCTGTTGAGAGAGTGGGTAAAATGTAGCTGTTGAAAGAGTGGGTAAAATCTAGCTGCTGAGAGAGTCGGTAAAATCTACCTGTTGATAGAGTTTATAAAATGTAGTTGTTGAGAGAATTGGTTAAATGCAGTTGTTTGAGAGAGTGGATAAGTGGTAAGGTGATATTATGCATATAGCAATGTGAAAGTGGTCTGTCAGTTTGTAACAGTGTTAGAGACATGATGAATTTAATCATATTGTACAGTTAGCACAATACAGTATGTATACATATTTTGTTGATAATTATTGATTTTTCAAACTCATGATATATTTTGATACATATATTTTTTAATTCACTTAAATGATGACGTGCAGTTTTAATCATGTAGTCTAAATTTGTATTACAGAACTTCACTGCAGAGGTGTTTCATGTACCATTATCTTCTATCAATTTGGGTAACTCTTTATTCCTTACACCAGGATATTCAAGGTTGTTTCCCTTGATCGGCTCAGATCTTCATCAAATTGAGCTGCAATATAATTCGAAGCATGAAAAAGTAAGACTTACAGTTACTTTTGTTTAAATTAATTTGAAAATATGTATTGGTATTATAGAGTACTTGATTATTTCATGGGAACAGATTTTTTTGGTATCCTGCTATCTATCCTTTACGTTGATGCTAGAAAACTTTATCTTACACGCCCAATGTAAGACAAGTTGTGTGCTTTAAATGCTGTCATTGCCATGCACCTTTTAAGAATGAGTTGTGTTCTTAGGATGACATCATTTTATCGTTCTCAATGAAATTGTAAGTTCATACGCTACTATAAGAAAAAAGTATGTAACAAGAATATCAGATTTCATAATCTATGTTCCAAAAATAATTGACATGTAATATGCAAGAAAAAGAATTACACATCAGCTGTAGATACAGACGGGAATATCTAGCTAACTCTCGGGTAACTATTTAGCGCAAACTCGGCAGAGCCTCAATACCCCCGTAAACAGTTACCATCGAGCTAGATATTTCAGTCTGTACTGGCAGCAAGTGTAAGATTTTTATTTTCGCTTCCCACAATCTACACTGGTGCGTTTACTGGTTTTGTCACCCAACTTAAAATGGATGTCTTATGTGGGTTTCAGGATGATTGGGCCATCATCAAGGTATTTGTATCTAATTGTAAGGCTACATTAATTTTTCTTTATTGAAACAACCTTTAGGGACTTACAAGCGGGATAAAGATTCTCTTTTTAACTTCAAATAAATGTGATTTTATATTTGTTATTCCATGTTTATAAATATATAGAGGATATTGAATGAGTGTAAGTTCAATGCATGAGTTGAATAAAATTATATTATGCGAGCCTCTGGCGAGCATAATATTATTTTATGCAACGAGTGCAATAAATTCAGCAATGAACTTACACAAATTTAATATTCAATGTATAACATACCCAAAATAAAGACCGTTTAAAATGAAATAAGAGTCATTTTCATCGATGCACCTATATATATATGGTATAACGCTAACCATTAGCGCGTCTTTACACTATTTTTGTATAAGGCTAATGACGTCACGTCAAAATATATGCAAGGTCATGCAATACCATATTTATGGAGACACAAGATCGGCACGGGTGTGTAATAAATATACATGTATATACATTTGTATATCCCATTGAAAACATTCCATATGTTTGAAAATTAACTTGTTATTTAAAATAAACCTCAATAAGTCAGTATCATTTTGATAAGCCTGTCTTATGCTGACTTGTTTAATAGAGCTTTCTACCCTTTAATTAAGATGTAATAGCAAGTAAATGAAGAGGTAATAGCAAGTAAATGAAGAGGTAATACCAAGTTAATTAAGAGGTAAAACCAAGCCATGAATTCAATTAATACACCAGGGAACAATGTTTACTTAAATTTTTCTATATTTTCAGAATGAGATGAGAGATTTTGGAACTTTAAAAGATGTGGATTTTCCCTCTTTACCCAAAGAATTACAAATGTTTTATAAGGTGAGTCACATGAAATTCCTCACAGTTTCAGAAATAGGGCTATGTCTGCCAAATTAGGACATCTTTTAAAAGGAAATGTCTGTGCTGTCTTTTTAGCTCACCTGTCACAAAGTGACAGGGTGAGCTTTTGTGATCGCTTTTCGTCCGGCGTCCGTCCGGCGTCCGTAAACTTTTACTTTAAATGACATCTCCTCATAAACCACTAAGCCAATTTCATCCAAACATCACAGGAATGTTCCTTTGGTGGTCAACTTTCAAAATTGTTCAAAGAATTTAATTCCATGCAGAACTCTGGTTGCCATGGCAACCAAAAGAAAAAACTTAAAATATCTTCTTCTAAAAAACTCAAAGAGCTAGAGCTTAGATTTTTGGCATGAAACATCTTCTGGTGAGTGTCTACCAAGTTTGTTCAAATAAAAGCCCTTGGGTCAAAATTGGCCCCGCCCCAGGGGGTCATTGATTTTCCCTATATGCATATAGTAAAAAACTTAAAAAATCTTCTTTTGAAGAACCCAAAGAGCTAGAGCTTAGATATTTAGCATGAAACGTCTTCTAATGGGTGTCTAGCAAGTTTGTTCAAATAAAAGCCCTGGGGTCAAAATTGGCCCCGCCCCAGGGGGTCATTGATTTTCCCTATATGCATATAGTAAAAACTTAAAAAATCTTCTTTTAAAGAACCAAAAAGGCTAGAGCTAAGATATTTAGCATGAAACATCTTCTAATGGGTGTCTACCAAGTTTGTTCTAATAAAAGCCATGGGGTCAAAATTGGCCCCGCCCCAGGGGGTCATTGATTTTCCCTACATACATAAAGTAAAAACTTTAAAAAAATCTTCTTTTATAGAACCAAAAGAGCTAGAGCTAAGATATTTAGCATGAAACATCTTCTAATGGATGTCTACCAAGATTGTTCAAATAAAAGCCCTGAAGTCAAAGTTGGCCCCACCCCAGGGGGTCATTGATTTTCCATTTATACATATAGTAAAAACTTAAAAAATCTTCTTTTATAGAACCCAAAGAGCTAGAGCTAAGATATTTAGCATGAAACATCTTCTAATTGGTGTCTACCAAGTTTGTTCAAATAAAAGCTCTGGGGTCAAAATTGGCCCCGCCCCAGGGGGTCATTGATTTTCCCTATATGCATATAGTAAAAACTTAAAAAATCTTCTTTTAAAGAACCCAAAGAGCTAGAGCTAAGATATTTATTATATATATATATATATATGTTTTTGTAATTCATATATGAAAGAACATAATAAATAAAAAAAAAAAAAAAAAAAAAAAAAAAGAAGATATTTAGCATGAAACATCTTCTAATGGATGTCTACCAAGTTTGTTCAAATAAAAGCCCTGGGGTCAAAATTGGCTCTGCCCCGGAGGTCATTCATTTTCCCTATATGTGTAAAACTATAGCAAAAATTGAAAAATCTTCTTTGAAAAAACTCAAATAGCAAGAGTTTAGATATTAAGCATGAAGCATCTTCTAGTGAGTGTCTTCAAAGTTTGTTCAAATAGAAGCCCTGGAGTTAAAATTGGCCCCGCCCCGGGGGACATTGATTTTCCTTATACAAGTATAGCAAAAACTTAAAATTCTTCTTTTAAAAAACCCGAATAGCTAGAGTTTAGATATTAAGCATGAAACATTTTCTAGTAAGTGTCTACAAAGATTGTTCAAATAAAAGCCCTGGGGTCAAAACTGGCCCTGCCCAAGGTGTGTCATTGTTTTTAACTATATGTGTAAAGAAAAAACTTAAAAAAATCTTCTTTTAAAAATCCCAATGAGCTAGACCTTAGATGTTTAGCATGAAACATCTTCTAATGGTTGTCTACAAAGTTTGTTCAAATAAAAGCCCCGGGCTTTAAACTGGCCTTGCTCGGGGGGCCTATGTACAGGTGAGCGACTTCAGGGCCATCATGGCCCTCTTGTTGTGGTTTTTGAAATGCTGTGCTCTTTTTTGGCAGTTGTTTTGGGTTCTCTTTTGCCACTGTTTTCCTCTGAGAGGGAACTGAGTTGAACCTAAAAAGGTTTCAACAAAAGCAAAATTATAAATTTGAATACCAGTTTAGCAAAAAATTCCAATTGTAGAATTTGGGAGTTGATCCATTTATCTGTCAATTTAATGTATTCTTCAAAATATGAGGGTAAAATGTTTTCTTCAATATTTGGGGGGAAATACTGTCAATTTTTACAGTCACAATCTGTTTTAAATTAGGTTCTAAAATTTGGTTATACTTTAGGATCTGACAGCTACCAATGAACGTTCCCTTCTTGCGACCTTTCATCAGTCAGTCAGTGACAGTGATCAATCTTTTGAAAGCGGACTGGTTTCTATTTTTAATTGCTAGGCAACCAAAAGACAATGTACATGATTTTCAAGATGTCTAGATGTAATGGGTGAACATAAATGATAAATGCTTATTAGTTAGGTAGATAAGCTTTGATTTATGCTTTAAATTAAAAACTTGAAAAAGATGGGCATTTTCATAACAAAAATACAAAACAAAAAGAACAACAAAAGATTCAAAACAGAAATAGCAACAAAAAAGGGTTACAAGAAAAATAATAAATAGATTAAGCAACAGAAAGCAACATACCTTGCAAACTGTTGTCATTGCAGAAATTTTGACAATTCTTTTTGCTGCAGGCCGAACAAGATTAAACTCTAAAAAAAGAACAAATCAACTTGTATCACTTTTTTTTTGGTTCCAAGTATATGGTTTGTTTTGTTGTCACATGTACCACTTATTTTAAATCATTATGTATCATTTGTTTTATATGTTTCAGAGTTTTATATCTAGTTTAGATACATTACTATCCGATCTTGGTGTCAAGGAAGATATATTTTCTATGGGATATACAAGTGCAATTTTAGCTTCAGAATTAGAGGCGTACCCTCCAGCTAAAACAAGAAGAAAAGTAAGTGAAGAGATATCTGAGTACTACAAAATCACTTTTATTAATTTTGTGGTCTCATTAATTATCGTGGTTTTTGTAGATAAATAAATCCACAAATTAATGATCTAGTTAAGTTTAATGTCCTCTGCTGTTTAATTTTTTTTGCATTAAATGATTTGCATTTTTCTTCTTTGTGACTATCCATGAATTTGCAAATGTTTGAACCCTTGAAATTTCCTTTTTTGACAAAACCACAAAATTTCATTCCTACCAAACATAGTGAATTCACAATATGCTATAGCCCTTGACAAACAACAATATCAATATATAGCACTCACATGAATTATATATCTTAGCTTTTTAGACAATGGTAAAATCTGTAAAAGATATTAAAGAAACATGCCCAGAGCTAGATTCATGATTTTTGGGCACAATTTTTAGCCTGGTTTCAGTGAAAAGCTATGCAACACTTTTCAGTTCTTGGTCATTTTGCTAAAAAATGATAATTCTTGGAAAGCAGAGTGTGGGATGATCTGAAATTTTGCTCGCAAGTCAATAGTCCAGAATTACATCAAATGGCATACAAGACTTAAAAAAATATTTCAAATCCCTTCATATAAAAAATCCTCGGAGGAGTTCCTTTAATTTAAGTGCCTTCTTGTTACTGATAAGGATGCTGTTTTTTGGTTTTCTTGGTCTCTCACTATTGTGGTTCCCACAAGGAATTTTGAATTCTTTCATGTTAGGAAGCAGTTCAGATAGCTGACAGTAGGTCCGTGTTTCTACTCCTATGCCAGCTTGTGCCTAATATAATATGTATACAGGTAGTTGAGGTCCTCCTCACACTCCTCAAATCCACGGATGCCAAATGATCTTTACATTGATACTTTCATAACAATAATGCATTTTTTTGCAGTGAGTATATTTACGATGCTGTGGATAATAATTATTTTTATTTCATGAATTATAATTTTGCATCATTTCAGACATTATCAGATCGAGCCTCCGTCGTATTTATAGATCGTACCCTGGATTTAGCCTCGGTGACATCATACAACACTGAAAGTCTATTGGATAAAATACAGCAGGTGTTACCAAGGTTACCAGGTCATGTGACTGATGTCAGTGTTGATATGTCATCACTGTGTAAAGTTCACAGGTAACTTTATATAATGATAATTGTATTGAGTGTTAAAGGAACTCCACTGAGGTCCAATAGCCTTATAATATTATATAATTTGAAATTCTTTCTTAAATCAACTGGTACACTTAAATTTGAAAACCAAGCTATAGATAATATATACATATGCATGGTATTAAATTGATAATCAATTTTAATGCTATTTTTGGCTGATTTGAGTGAAAAGCATTGCAACAGTTATCATTTTTTTGGGCCAGTTTGCACAATAGAAATGATTATTTCTGGAAAACAGAGTGAGCAATGATCTGAAATTTTGTACAGGAATTTTTGGTCCAGACATACATCTAGTAATACAAAAATCGTGAACAAATATTTTTGGTCCCTTCTCATCAAAAAACTGCAGTGGAGTCCCTTTAATATTATCTATATAACTTACAGTGGGCAATGTTCTACTTGCGCACCTTTAATGTGCCTAAGATTATGTGCCAAGTGACACCATTGGTACTCACTTTCTAAGTTTGCTTAATGTTTTAAATGGACTTTATTTTTAGCTGGCATGTTTTGAAGAAAACATCACTAAGTTATGTCCTTTTTCCTGGTTGTCAAAGTTACTGTTGTCATGCCAAAACTTTAGTGTTATGATTAAGCCCATTTCTAAGATTTTAATTAAAGCAGCATGCCTCCAGATGAGCGAAAATATTTCAATAAATTCAAACTTGAGAAAAATGTACTAGTAGAAAGATGCAAGATTCAGGTAATAATATACATGTTATAAGCGATTAATTGTTAATTTTTCATTGTGTGTAACTATATTTCTACTGCGTTACTAATGCAGTAAATGGGCTATTTTTGCATATTTTGACCTCTTTTTGTAATTAATGTGGGATGTAATTGATAATGTGTAAATTCCTTCCTTTTGGTTACTTACAATGTTAATTACTTTTAATTACAATTTCAAAAGTTTCATGAAAATAAGCATTAATCTGGAGGTGTGCTGCTTTAAGTATATTTACACCTTTAAATTAAATTTGAAATTAAAGCAACATGCCTTTCATGCTCATGTTCAAGAAAATTTTGAAAATGAATTAAAAAGTAAAGAAAGTAATTTACAGATTTCAAAGGGCACTTGCAATTCTCGTAAATTACCAAATATTACTTCACACAAATGTTCACGCTTGTGACATAGAGTGTCTCGCACAAAATTCAGGTCCCAGCAGCTAAGGTTAAGGTCACACTTAGAGGTCATTGAAAAAGGCTTGTCCAGAGCAAACCTTTGCATAGGGGGATTTCAATTTAACTTGGCACAGATGTTCACCTGTGTAAGGCAGAGTGTGGTGTGCAAAATTCAGGTCCCTGTGGTCAAGGTAAAACATAGGGGTCAAAGTTCAGATAAAAATATGAAAATGTGTATAGAGACCATTTAGTCATCATTTATTGAGGGATTGTAACACAAATGGTCATAATCATGGCTTCATCAGTGACACTGGTAGTTAAGGTCAATATATGCAAGTTCAAGGTCACTAAATATGAAATATCTGGATTTTGTCAGAAACATATCTCTTACACTCCTGCTTAAGAATGCCTGTCGGAAGTGTACAATACATAAATTAGCAATGCACTGGCTTAGTAATCTCAGATTTGGCAGGGAGGTTGTCTTCGAGCTCTAAATGACCACTGTTGATTTAGACAAAGTGGTATGCGGGGGTATTCATGCCATGACAGTGGCAGTTCTAGTTTTAATTCAAAGCTTTTCAGTATTTTCACATATTCCAGACCCTGATTATCATTAGAGGGTGAGCACACCTTTTTTGTGCATTAACATCTGCAGAAGCACTAGGGTGAATTTAATGCTCGAGCCAGTAATGTTAATGCACAAAGAAAGTTGCATTGGGGCTATTCTTACATAAAATATATGTCTGACTCAGTAATTCTGCATTTCCTTTATTATGTTTTCACAGTGATTTACAATTATTTTACTTATAAATTGAGGCCCTAATGATAATCAAAACTCTGTTTCCTATTTATAGAATCAAATTAGAATTTCAACCTTCTTTTATTTAAGGGAACATGGAGCGGAAACTATTTCATCAGGTTGCCTAGCAACCCAGACTGTGTCCCAGTCTCATTTACAGACTCTCATTACTGGTAGAAATAAGGTAAATATATAAGTCTTAACCTTACAAACTGTTAGCCTGCTAAATTTGTTTTAATAGACTTACCCATCTTTTAAAATCAATCTAATGAATAAACTATTCTAGCTTATGCTACACTACCTTTTGCAAGGTAAGCAAAATATGAGCCGCGCCATGACAAAACCAACATAATGGGTTTTAGACCAGCATGGATCCAGACCAGCCTGTGCATCCGCGCAGTCTGATCAGGATCCATGCTGTTCGCTTACCAACCCTATTACAAGTGAGAAAGTGATAGCGAACAGCATGGATCCTGATCAGACTGCGCGAATGCTGGTCTGGATCCATGCTGGTCGCAAACAAACTATGTTGGTTTTGTCATGGTGTGGCTCATATGATGATTCAATTTCAATGAGATTTAGTAAAATATCATTGCCAATTTACAATAGTATAAGAATAAGGCAATGCTTCTCACTAAGTATTTTAAAATGTTTTAAGGTCAAAAGGTAATTTAAGCCAAATAAGGTCCAAAGGTCATTTAAGCCAAGTAAGGTTCAAATGTCATTTTAGCCAAATAAGGTTCAAAAGTCATTTAAGACAAATGCAAAACAAAAAGTCAAAAGGTCATTTAAGACAAACAAGGTCAAAAGGTCATTTAAAAAGTCAAAAGGTAGTTTAAGACAAATAAGGTCAAAAGGTCATTAAAGACAAATAGAGATTTATATGAGCAGGAAGCATTGATGGAAGTGAACAGACAGCTTATAGAAGCAGCCTCATCCTGTAACCTACCCGTCAGTCTAACAGGTAAACCTACACGAGTATCTGCGGAACAGTTGAACGCCACACTGTCTGTTTTCAGGTAAGGAATACTTGTACTGTTTGTGTGCATATTTATTTCAGTTTGATGTGATACAAATTATTTCAACCGAGACTTTATAATTTTTCTGCCGATTTCTTAAAAGTGGCTGGTTCAGATATCGTATGATTAGGAAACAGGGTTGTCATCGGTGAAAGATTCAAATGGAAGGTCCATTGATTTAGATGCAAACTCCTTAACCAGTAGGCCACTGCAGCAGCTCTTTTATAATAGTGTTGAAAAGTATATGATAATGATAATGTTTGGGCTATATCACTTGGTTATCAATATATTCATGCAAGATCACAATATCCATAATGTCTTATCAGGCATTATTGATAAATCATAACTTTTAGTTATTCGGTTGTTAACATTACTTACACTTAACATACTAACTGGACCATCATTCAAGGATGACACCACCATTCATCATTTTTAGGGTTAATTTTTAAAGATGTACTAACTAAACGGTGAACAGTGCAGACCATGCCCAGGAAGCATGGATGGGAAAGTTGATATTGGCCTGCGCTAGTTGAATGGGTAGATTCATCTGAGACTAGCAGGTTAAAGGTTAGGTTTGAAAAGTAGATTGTTTGAAAAACCTTAGCAGACTGACTGTCTGACTGTTACTCAGTCAGAATGATGTCAGTCACAAATAATATTTACCCATATGTCTCATTTCATACATTAAAAATGCTCTGGACAACGAGTTTCCCAGAAAAGATACATCTCATATTGAAACTATTTCAGCCTAATATATTCCTCATTTTTTTCTGTGTGTATTATTTCAGAGGAAAATATAAGGAAATCTCCAAGCATCTTGATTGGCTGCAGGTTTCTATGGCAACATATCAAACATTGAGTAATCCCATAATGCATCACTGTGATGAAATGATCAGTGTGGAGAAAGGCTTGCTTCAGTCTCTAGTTGATCCGGATGGGCCAGGAGCTTTGAGTCAAGTTTTACAAATGATACAGAAGAAAAAGGAAAAGGAAGACACATGGTGAAGATAAAAATATTTATTTACTTTGTGTGACTAAAAAGTAGTTTGGCTTGACCATTTATAGAAAAGTGGAAATTATCCCTCGACCCATCAGTCTGTAATTTTAAATCCTAAACCCTAAGCCGTGGGGAATGGTGAGGACTTTGATATCTTGATTTTCCAAATTTCTGGTATTCACATTTTTAGATGTAAAGTTGAACATCAATATCAGTTGACCTAGATAATTAGAGGAAGTGACCTACTTCCTTGTCCTTTTGATGTGCAGCTATGAAATTTGGACAAATGCATAGATTCAGATGAAAAATTGATTATTGAACATTATGGAAATGATTCATTCTGACCAAACCTACCTATTGAAATTTATAAAAAGGAAAAACCAATTTTTTATAATTATCATTTTTAAAGATTTGTTGATACCTTCAATTTGTTTGATCTAGAAAAGTAATGGGAAATAAAATTGAGTGTTGCCCAATATGGCTATGGCTCTCATTCTATTTACATACAGTACATGCAATATTCATGTTTATTTAATTAAAAAAAAAATAACTCTTTCAAAAACTAACCATAACATTGTAAAAGTTTTGTAAAACTAATTCCATCAAATGAAGCTTTATACCCGTTACTTATTCTGTAAAATGTCAGTGTTTCATTTAACCAGTTATGAATGTTTGATTACAGGATGTACAGTTTAGATGACATATTGTGTATCCTAGTGTTTGTTTATTCACTTGGAGGTTCCACTCTTCTCTCCCAGATGGACGAAGAAGCTGCATTACAGGTAGAGTTATTTCACATGACATCTCTTGTTGTCCCCTGCCTTTTCGAAGAAAAAAGGGGGATATAGAAATAGGCTCCGTTCGTCTGTCCGTCTGTCTGTCCTTCCGTCTGTCCGTCCGTCCGTCACACTTTCGTGTCCGGTCCATAACTTTGTCATTTATGAAAGGAATTTAAAATAACTTGGCACAAATGTTTTTTATAATAAGACAATGTGTCATGCGCAACAACCAGACCCCTACCTCCAGGGTCAAGGTCACACTTGCTCATTCAAGGTCAAAATTGCCTATTTGAGGGTATATGTCGTGTCCGGTCCATAACTTTCTTATCTATGAAGGGATTTTGTAAATACTTGCCATAATTGTTCACAATTATCAGACGATGTGTCATGCGGAAAAAGCAGTCACCTACCTTCAAGGTCAAGGTCACACTTGGAGGTCAAATATTAACATAGTCTGTTACAGGGTATATTTCGTGTCCGGTCCATAACTTTCTTATCTATGAAGGGATTTTGTAAATACTTGCCATAATTGTTCATAATAATCAGACGATGTGTCATGCGCAAAAACCAGTTGCCTACCTTCAACGTCAAGGTCACACTTGGAGGTCAAATATTAACATAGTCTGTTACAGGGTATATTTCGTGTCCGGTCCATAACTTTGTCATTTATCAAAGGAATTTGAGATAACTTGGCACAAATGTTTGTTATAATAAGACGATGTGTCATGCGCAACAACCAGACCCGTACCTTCAGGGTCAAGGTTGTACTTGTTCATTCAAGGTCAACATTGTCTATTTGAGGGTATATGTCGTGTCCAGTCCATAACTCTCTTATCTATGAAGGACTTTTGTAAATACTTGCCATAATTGTTAACAATAATCAGATGATGTGTCATGCGCAAAAACCGGCCACCTACCTCCAAGGTCAAGGTCACACTTGGAGGTCAAATACTTACATAGTCTGTTACAGGGTATATTTTGTGTCAGGTCTATAATTTTTTCATAGATCAAAGGATTGTGAAAATACTTCACACAAATAGTCACTATAATAAGAGGATGTGTCATGCGCAACACCTGCATCCCTACCTCCAAGGTCAAGGTCACACTTAGAGGTCAAAAATTAACATAGTCTGTTATAGGGTATATTTTGTGTTGAATCTAGAACTTCTTCATAGTTCAAGGGATTTTGAAATAACTTGGCACAAATAGTCACAATAATAAGACGTTATGTCATGCACAACACCTGCTCCCCTACCTCCAAGGTCAAGTTCACACTTAGAGGTCAAAGCTTAACATGATAGATTTTTAAATTCTGTGTTTCATTTTATTTTTTTAACAAATTTATTGTTACATTTGCAGATCTAGCATTGATCATGATTTTGGACTGAATGTCCTGAGATCCATACCTCAATCTTTTGAAATAGCACAATTTTATGCTTCATATAAAACTCCCGGGGCGGGGAACGTTGGTAACTCTGTTACAAATTCTTGTTTCCCATGTAATATAACCAGTATGTATTTTATATAGCACAGGAAATATAATGCCATTGTGTTGTATTGTTTAAAATTTCAACGTCAAGTTACTGCCAATATTCTATTTATAAGTATACTTTTGTACATTTGTATTTTGTTGATTTTCATAATAAATAGTAATTGAATTTTTAACTAGTGTTATTTTGCAGGATTCAAAATATAGTTTTATCTCTTACAACTTTCAGGAGATGATTCTAGACAGAGTTATCCAAGAGAAATCACAGTTACCTCCCCTGATGAGATCCATAGGTATGCTTCCATGTGCAGTTGGAACTCTTATCTCTTGTTAAAGTGTGTGTATTGTAGAGAACTCAAGGTTGTTTCTGTAAACATATATATGTCTTAGATTAAAAAACCACCTGAATGGTGTTATAGAAGCTGGGGCCGTTTGGAAAATTCATTTTGACTTACAGGGAATACAATTATCATAAAGTTTACAGATTACATAATTTTAATTGTTTAACTATACTTAAGGTGCATCAACATTGTATCGAATATTTAGTGTAATTTGCATACTAGGATTAAATTTTTTTTTCAAATTAAATTATATCTTTACTGTGTAAATACTGTAGACTACATTTCTGCAGCTGCCCCTTGCCTCTGTTGATAAAAATCCTGCAATGGAGACTGATTTGTCTAATTTGAAGAGCTGTACTGGCATGCGAGCAGTTCCCGTACAGAAGCAGTACCCGTATTTTTCATTTAAACGCTTGATTTTTACTTGCATTCTTCAAAAATTCATTTCAAATCAAGCAGATATATAAACGAGACAAAATCTAAGTGTCAGTTCGACAGTACGTATATAAAGTCTCATTTTAAATCACTTTCACCTCTGCGTCGTCAACACGTGACCTTGTTTTCTCTTGGGGATTCCGTCCTTGAGAGCATGCACAAAAATACTTACACGTGAGGCTTGTTAAAGGGTTTTCCACTAATACCACCTGTTTACAAATAAGTAGGCAATGTGATGAAAAATTGTTTAATTATCAGAATGTTGACCAATATTACTATAAATAATAATTTTATGGCTTTGATGCGTAAAATATCATGCATACTGTAAGCATGTTACTGCATATGAATGTGTTGGGGAAACGGTACCGGGTAATAGATACCCGCGTTTAGTCTATGCTCTATTTCCTGAATTACATCTTTTTATCTCTTAGATAATGGTCTGTTCAACAATTGTAAATGAACAATAGGTCCGATATAATAAAATTGTATAATTATAATGGGTTAGATTTTATGTACGGGAACTACTTCTCTTCATACAAAATAATGGATAATTTCGGTACCCCATATGAGGCCTCATAAGTAAGGGTTATTCTATGTTTAGAACATGATGAAATTTTGTGTGACGAGCCGAATATTGATGAGTAACATTCAAATATTGGTGAGTGAGCGTAATAAAAAATAATGATTAAGTAACTATGATTTTTGTACGGGAACTGCTCGCATGCCAGTACAGCTCACAGAAAGTTAATGGCTCTTCCCATTTGTCCTATTATGCTCAGATGGGAATCTCAATGAAGGTCTACCTCAGCAGGGTCTTTCTATTTGAACGACCCTGACCTCAGTCAGAAATACTGGGGAATTGCAATATCACAATCACTGTTAGTATGATTAAACACCAAAGAAAACAAAAACAAACTAAAAATACAATTGTAATTTTTCAGGCAAACATGATTTTTGGCTACTTTTTATAAGTCCCCCCCCCCCCCCCCCCCCCCCCCCCCCCCAAAAAAAAAAATGTGCTTAAAAGTTCAATGTTGCTACTTTCAGTTGGAGATATAGTCACAGATAGGTCTATTGTGTCGGACATACTGGAGGACCTGTGGGAAAAGTTGTCTTCTATCTCTGTGTCCCGGGAACACCTTAGTCAGTTCAAGTAAGTTTATTTCATAATTTGCTTTGATTGATAATCTTTTACTTTAGAGTAAACAAAATTTGATGCATTTACACCAGCAGCCAGGTCACCACACAAGTGTTAATGAATTCAGCATCAAACTAAGTTCAAAGTGCTTTTCTGTGACAAATAAATAGAACCCCTTAAAAACCATGTGAAGAGATGATAACAGGTGAAGTGGCAATTAATGGTTGAAATATGCACACATTTCACAAATTTTAACTTGCATGCCTTCATGTGTTGTTATGAATATTCTTTATATTAAATTTTTTCTGACGTTGTTTTAATTCATTATGCTATTTTTAGAATCATATTCTATTAATAGAAATGTCCTTGACCCTGGGTCAGCAATAAGTCCTGCCTCCCAGAATCCTCTTCTGAAACAACTGGTGGAGGCCATGTTGGATCCTGACAAGCCAGAGATCGTTGATCTAGAATTTAAATCATCTGGCTTAAGAGATAAATTGAAGTCTGGATTCGGGTAGGTTATGTTTGTTTGGTAGGTTACTTTAAAAAGAAGAAGAAAAGAAATTTCAAACAAATGAATACATGTACATAATTGTACTTGCACTTGTTGTCAATTTTTTTATCTTTTAATTACAGTTCATGACAATCATTTTATGACATTTATAACATATAGTTGGAAAAGACTACTTTGTGTTTATCATTTGCAGGGTCAAATGCAAAAATCTTGATTTTTAAGTCATATTTCGAAAACAAACTTCTTGTTACTTTTAATGAAAACTAATCAATGGAAATTAGGGTAAGGTTGCTAACTATTTGAAGGAAAGGGAGAGCTATTGTACTTAATCAGGCATAAAACTTTAGTAAAATTTTGCATGGAAGTTGGTATCTTCAAAACTACTGAAGGGAATGGGTTGAAACTTTACATACATATTTTAGAACATAATGGATGGTCACAGTCAAAGGCCTATAACTAACTAATAACTAACTTTTATTTTGACGGAATTAACTTTTATTTTGACAGAATTATGGCCCTTTTTGAATTTTTGAATCAAAAATATCATATATTGTCCAGGCTCTTGATTTACCTTCAAGCATAGCCAATTGTCTAGCAGGTTGTCCAACCTACAGCCCATGTTTCAGTAAAACATTAGGCTTTAAGAAGTTGCATCTTTTCTAAAAACTAATTTTAACACCTAAGTGTACTTTTCAAGACTGTTAAATATTTCTTTACCTTTCAGATTGTTTCGAGGTGTTTCTAAGCCACGTCCTAGTGATCACCCTTTGATGATACTCTTCATTGTTGGAGGTGTAAATTGTACGGAAGTGAAGCAGATTAAAGACGTATTTAATCATTACAAACCAGGGTGTCAGATAATGGTGGGGAGTACACGACTTCTGTCTCCGAGAGAAACAGTGATGTCTGCCCTGTGTCAGAATAACATCATTCCTTTTGAAATATCGTAACACTAACAGTTAGCAGTTTAGAGAAAGAAAAACACAAGCCATATTTATCGCTCAACATTTATTTATTTTAGAATTGGTGATCGTTACTACAAAACCTCAGTCGGTGCAATTTCTTGAAAAAAATGTTTTAAATGCTTTACTTAAGACTCTGATAGGCTCTAGAATGTTTGTTAAAAAAAAAGAATTTTGTTGAAGAAGACAAAAAATACAATAAAATCTTTAATAAACTTAATTGTTAGAAAAGACTATCTGATTTATCCAATAATAAATGTAGGTTTGATCATAGGGTTTTATCTGAAATTGAAATTAAGAGATTAAATATCGTTTCAATGCACAGTGTTTATCAGTTAATAAGTCAATTTAGACTTATATTGGAAAACACATTAAAGTTCTCCTGTATAGTTAATACAAGAAATGATTCGAGTTTTATGCAATAATACTTTAAAGTGTTTTCAGATACAAGTCTGTGTTAACATATTAATCACAGGGATGGGGCATATTTGACCCCAAAGGAATATAGCCAATGATTTCAATAGAGAGCAATGGAAGGATACTAAAAGCCAAATATTTATGCTCTGTGTATTAAAATGTTGGAGGAAAAGACTTGTAAGACATGTTTAATATAAGTGGAAACGGACAAAAGCCTTCCCGTAACAAAAATATATATGTATGTTAAACATCTGCTTTTTTCCAAGGCAAGAACATATTAAAATTGTAACATATGTATTTGTTGTTGTTTTCAATTGTCCTAAGTCAGTGTATGCAAAATAAAGTCACATTTAAACCTGAAATAAAGTCACATCTAAACCTGTACAGGGAACATTCTAAATGTCTTGGACTTTTAATTTTAGTTAATTTGAACTTCTTTTCATCATTTATTACTCTATTTATCTGAGTTTCACATGGGAGTTATCCTTTCATATGTACGTAAATAAATAATAATTATGCACTATTGAATAGAAAAAAAACAAAGAATTCAACATACATACATGTATTTGCCGCAGGAGGGCTTAAGTCCATCCTGTTATTTTCATGGGAGGGCTTCTGTCCGCCTTGTCATTTTTGGATGGGAGGGCTTTTGTCTGGGAGGGCTTTTGTCCTACACTCCTATATAAGCTATGTGACACCAGGTGCAAGACCAGTTTTGACAAAAATGGCATGATTTATTTCAATTTTCCAAAGGACCACAAAATGATGACAAATTTCTAATCTTAAACTATGGCCATTTTAGTTTTTGAGAAGCTTTTTAAAAGGAGTTTTAAGACATTTTTACCTTACTAGTATATGTGAACATAGTGGCCAAAGGTTTGAGCCATTCTTTTAATAAAAGGTGTTGACTTATCAAAATTTTGTTAACCAAGTGTATCCAAGACAAAACCAGATTTGACACATGGTGAATGAATTATGAAAAAGAATAATTTTTCATTGACGTGCTAAATGTTAGCGCGTCTTTACTAACACAAATTATGTCATGTCAAAATATATGCATGGCCGTGCAATACCATATTTACCGAGTCACAAACAGCACGGGTATGTGATAAGCAAAAGTTAATGAACGGTTATTGCACTAAGTTGACCATAAGAACTTCACTCAGATTACAATTAGTTGAAAATTACTGCAGAACGTTACTTGGAATATTGATAAATTTAAAGTGATTTTATATTTAAATCAATTTTAAGTCGAAAAATAAGTGTTTTAATTTTTTCTAAAATGTTTAATAACTACACTATTTATGATGGCATGGTAGAAATAATTGATGAAAAAATATTTTATGCAGGTATATTAGGTCCACACTTTTTTTTATATTTTTAAGAACGTTTCAGTTTTGTTGTAGTTATATGATGAGTTAAAAGGTAATAAAATTATACCACTTTGAATAGACTTTGATACCATTTATGAATTATTTTTTGCACCTTCAGAGCTACTTTTAATTTAACTCAGTATCAAAGCCGCTGTCAAATGCAATTTGTTTTTTTTACACTATTATTTAATTCCATGACAAAAAACATTTTAGCCAAAGCTCCTAGTTTATCTAAAATATAGGATACAATGAAGATAGTATTTTTACAGCCTGTGGATCAAAATCAATTTATAAACATGTCAAATCTATAACAGCAATGGGGTTCACTACAAGCGGAAAATACTTCCAGTGCCGATTATCGTATAATGCTGTTGATTTCACACCCTACTGTTGCTAAGATATAGCATGGGATACTTTGTCGTAGCCGTATGCGCACCAGTTACTAGGTCTTTGCCACAAGTTACTTAGTCATGCCCACAAGATAATTATTATGTTGGGCGCACAATTTCGTGTGCTCACGAGTTACTCAGTCATTAAAACGAGTTAGTAAGTTGTGCGCACGAGATAATCAAGTGATGCGCACGAGATATTATGTCATGCACACGAGTTACTTACTCATGTGCACAAGATAAAAAAGTCGATGTCAGGAGTTACTATGTGGCGCGAACGAAAGTCATCATGTCAAAAAGGTGTATTGAAGAAAGAACGTATAAATCTTTGAACAAAGTATATATATCTTGATTCCTTGATAATACCTTTGACAATTATCAATAATCATCATAGATAAACTTATATACTAATGTTATCAAAATCACTAGATAAATCTATGAATAAACATTTGATAAAATAAAAACTAATATAGCTATATTAGTTGTACTTGGCTTGTTATCATTATCACAGACTGTAATTTGTACATTTCAAATTTCAAAATGTGTATTTTTCACTTTTCTGAAGAAAACCATAGAGCATGTAAATATTTCACCATTCATTAAAGTGTTTTTTTCTTTGTCCTAGGGTAAATGAATACCATTGAAACACTGACTATATTCAGTGACCTTTGACTGACCTTTAAAAACACAATGCTATCTTGTTACGTTCGTTCATTCATTTATTTAAATGATTTAAGTAAGTGATATGTATTTTTTTTTTTAAATATAGCCATTTAAATCAGCTAGATTTACTTGCAATAATGTTTTCTTTTTTTTGCAATCCTTTTTTCCAATTTTTTTTTATATTCTAATATATGTTATATTAGAAGCTGATAATTTGTGGACAATACTATTATATTGAATGACTGATATTGCGGATATTATCAAACTAATTGGCTGATATTGTGGAAAATATTATCATACAGGTTGGCTGAAATTGTAGACAATATTATTATATTGATTAGCTGATATTGTGGACAATATTATCACACTATTTGGCTTATATTGTGGAGGATATTATCACACTAATTGGCTTATATTGTGGACAATATTATCACTCTAATTGGCTTATATTGTGGAGGATATTATCACACTAATCTGGCTTATATTGTGGACAATATTATCACACTAATTGGCTTATGTTGTGAAGGATATTATCACACTAATTGGCTTATATTGTGGAGGATATTATCACTCTAATTGGCTTATATTGTGGAGGATATTATCACTCTAATTGGCTTATATTGTGGACAATATTATCATACTAATTGGCTTATATTGTGGACAATATTATCACTCTAATTGGCTTATATTGTGGAGGATATTATCATACTGGTTGGCTGATATTGTGGACGATATTATCATATCCATCATAGAAAGAGAGAAAATACCGGTACCCAATACATTTTAATAATTGATTTTATTAAAAGAATAAAGTGATTTTTGCAGATACCGGAGAAAGGATTAAACTCTGATCTTTGGTTTTTGTACAATGAAAATAAAAGATGGAATAGTGATACAAAACATAGAGGGATTCAGGGATTCTGATATAAAAGGAAAATATTGAAGGGTTAATTGTGCCTAAAAGACTTATGAACCCCTGATTTATATATACTGTGGAGACTAAGCATAATCAAGTTCTGAAGGTAGCCAAGACAAACCAGGAGATCAAACATTCAACATCAATTAAAGAAAGGAACAGTTTCACAGTGTTTTTGTCCATATAAAAGAATGCATGTCTTTGCTGCACTTAAGAAACCATAGTAAAAATTATATAAAAAAAAAAAACAACACTTAAATAATTTTTAATTTTCATTAAGATTATCGAAAAAATAATCTATAATAATTATAATGTTGATAGTGTGAAACATAACTTCCTACAGCGTGCACAAGCAGTTTAAAATATAAATATGTCGCTCTCTTCACGATCTGTTAAGACTCCAAGTGTTAAAAGGGTTTCCTTTCTTGATTCAGTACATCACAGCTTTGTTAAAGAGACGAGGCAAGATGGCATTGAAATTTCAGAATTGTTTCCGAAAATCGAAGTTAAGTCGATTCTTCGAGATTCAACGTATAACAATCACCGGACGATGTGTGCTATGCCAGATAAAGCCAAAGATTACTTGCATAAGAAACGCAGCAGACGAGAACTTATGAAACAGGAAAAACAAAGGACGGCTCGTAAAAATGCATCGTTCTTTCCTCCAAAAGAACCCACGGAAACATTAACCCATGCAATGTTTCGATCAATGACTCACAAAATTCCAAGTAAAAATTCTAAACTTATATTGCCGAAAATTGCCCTCGTGTCTGACGCAGATCAGGACACGAGATTCGGATCACCGAAGAGTCGGTCGACTGGTCAGTCATTTCCATCGCATCGTTCACTGCAACGTTTTTCCTCACTACAGTCACTTACGCCACGGAATTCATCGGTCCAGACATCATTTGATATGAGCATCCCCTATCCAGAAATTACGACCTGCTCTGCAGAAACAAATGTTGTTAATTTTGATCGAGAATGTGGACTGTGTAGACACAACTGGAGACGCAGTCGACAACCTGCTTCCGGTTTCTGTAAATTATGCGACGAATATATGTGCGGAGATTGTATCTACAATCATCGTGGACGACTCACACGTTTACATCCGGTAATCGTTTTCCACTGCAACACATGTAAAGCAATGAATATACTAAACCGTAAAGGCTCTGGATACTGTATAAAATGCAAACAATTCTACTGTTCTATCTGTGTTGTCCTACATTGTTCATTAAAGAACCACGATGTTTTAGAAGGCAAAGATATGCTCGATGTGACCGACGTCATGATAGGGAAGTGACCAATAGTCACATTATAATTTCATCATAATCCTTGAACCAGTTAAATCAACATTTGCAACTTTTAAGTAACAAGCCGCTGCCATCACTATAACTCGCATGACCATGTTGTATATCTTGCAACCAGAAATGGCAGTCATTTGTTACAGTGAAAAATATTCCTGTTATTCTCTTTAGCAAGTTTATTTCTGACCTTTCTTCACATTAAGTATTATAATTTAAATCAAAGAAATCAGAGATATAAAGTATATATTTTTTTAGTTTAAATAAGTAAAAATTGTGCTTATTTTTGTGATGACAAAATTTTCCTTGAGGTGGCAGTGTTTTCTGAGATTTAACAGCAGGATGTACATTTCACTGGCAGCCACTGTTCTATGATAAAGAATTGGCAACTGTTCAGAGGTAAAGTATTGGCAACTGTTCAGAGGTAAAGTATTTGCAACTGTTCAGAGATTAATAATTGGCAACTGTTCAGAGATAAAAAATTGGCAACTGTGCAGAGATAAAAAATTGGCAACTGTTCAGAGATAAAAAAATGGCAACTGTGCAGAGATAAAAAAAAATTGGCAACTGTTCAGAGATTAATAATTGGCAACTGTTCAGAGATAAAGAATCGGCAACTGTTCAGAGATAAAAAAATTGGCAACTGTGCAGATAAAAAAAAATTGGCAACTGTGTAGAGATAAAAAATTGGCAACTGCTCAGAGATAAAAAACTTGGCAACTGTTCAGAGATAAATAATTGGCAACTGTTCAGAGATAAAGCATTGGCAACTGTTCAGAGATAAAGAATTGGCAACTGTTCAGAGATAAATAATTGGCAACTGTTCAGAGATTAATAATTGGCAACTATTCAGAGATAAAAAATTGGCAACTGCTCAGAGATAAAAACTTGGCAACTGTTCAGAGATAAATAATTGGCAACTGTTAAGAGATAAATAATTGGCAACTGTTCAGAGATAAAGAATTGGCAACTGTTCAGAGATAAAGAATTGGCAACTGTTCAGAGATAAAAAATTGGCAACTATTCAGAGATAGAGAATTGGCATTTGTTCAGAGATAAAAAATTGGCAACTATTCAGAGATAAAGAATTGGCAACTGTTCAGAGATAAAAAATTGGCATAGATTTTCATGTGTTTTTATTTACTCATCAATAATCAACATTCAGTTGTCATTTGTTAGTTTTGAACACAGGAACTTGAAATTCTATCACTATTAAAGATAATATGCAAAATATACCCCCTATATACTATAAATTTTTTTATAGCATATAGGGGTATATTTGGATATTATGATTAATATTAGTTATTTGATAGAATTTCAAGTTCCTGTGGTTTTGAATAATGATCAATATTTCTTAACAATATGGTATGAAATACAATGTATATAATTATTGTTGTTATAATTTTCAAAATAACAAATAACGGCATAGCATTTTTTGACAAAGTACAATTGACTCACTTTTTGTCATATTTTCTTTTAAAAAAAATTTTTCTTTGCAGTAAAATGTGCTTCAAAATCAATCAATTTGGCCAAAAATTTGGCGGCGGCCTAAAAGTTTCTCAATCTTTCAGCATAAGTTAAAGAAATTTAAATGTTTTTCCAATCTTTGACTACAAAAATAGGCTGTTTTACATCTCTGGCACAAAATGGACTGAATTAAAATTAAAAATTTGACCAAAAAGAAAATAATAAGACTGCTTAAAATACTGACAAAACAAAATGAACTGGTAAAAAGAAACAGTTGTTTAAATTTGAAAAGAAAATATCAGCTTACTTCAAATTTTCATTTTGATCTATAGACAGGTAAAAACTTGTCAGCTGGTCAATTCCACAAGCCTCAAAATGCTGCTTATTTTATTTCTCATAAATTTTTTTTCATATTTTTGGTATCCTAGAGTTTCCAAAAATGTACTCATTGGCCATATACCTGAATCATTTCTGAGGCTTAATGTGCCTTTAAAGGAATGAGTGTAATTTAATGTATATATGATGAAGTTGGTGTCAGATAACTGCACCAATGTCTCAGAGTTCAACACAACTACAGCCAAAATCTACACACACATATAATTTAAGCCGCTTCACAACAAAACCAACAAAGTGCGTTTGCGACCAGCATGGATCCAGACCAGCCTACCCATTCAGGATCCATGCTGTTCGCTTGCAAACCCTATAAGAAGTAGAGAAACTGATAGCTAACAGCATGGATCCTGATCAGACTGAGCGGATGTGCAGGCTGGTCTTGATCCAAGCTGGTCGCAAACCCATAATATTGGTTTTGTCATGGCGCGGCTCAATATATTATAGCTTGTTGACTCCACGGCAAAAACTTAAAGCTTTCAAGGCACACTTACCCTCGAAATTAGTATAGTAAAACTGGAATTCTAAAAAACCTTAATACTTTGAAAATCGGATGATTTAAACTCCAAATCCATTGATAAATAAATCACTATATATAACCTCTGAAAACTGGACTTTTGGCAAAACATGGCCAGGGTTTCATCTTCTACATTTTTACAGTTCATTTTTGTTTTCCTTTACAAAGAGCAAACATGTAATTTTTTACTACTTCAAATTGAATTAAGTTTGTTTGTTTGATTGGGTTTTACGTCACACCAACACAGTATTGATCACATGGCGACGTTCCAGCTTTACTTGTGGAGGAAGACCTCAGGTGCCCTTCCGTGCATTTTTTCAGGCACAAGCAAGCATCTGAGGAGAACCACCAACGTTCTGTAAGCTAGCTGGATAGCTTTCTCACATGAAAGAATCCAAAGTCCATGTCGGGATTCGAACCCACAGCGGTGAGGGGCAAGTGGTTTGAAGTCAACGACCTTAACCACTCGGCCACGGATGCCCCTAAATTGGATTAAGTGCATGTGTGTTGATAACCACCTGATGAAAGGGAAATAATCATTGAAGTAAACAAAGTACTTCCATACATAATACTACACCACTACAACTGTATTTCATTTCAAAACAACCGCCTCCGTGGTCAAGAGGTTAGTGTCGATGACTTCTAATCCAGTTACCTCTCTGGCGTGGGTTTGATCCCCTGGAGATTCTTTGGTAGTTTAGCGTGGAGGAAGGTAGTCTAGTACTGGTTAACTCTCTAGGAACGATGGTTAGGAAACTACTCGCCTATATGACTGAAGTACTGTTGGGGAAAAGGCGTAAAATTAAACAATCATTTCAAAACCATGAGAGATAAGTTATATGACCAAGGAGTAGCCTTCTGCAAACAGGTCACCTGACACTACAAGTACCAAGTTTTTGAGAAATATACAAGTAATATCATTATTATCAGGGCTTAATGAGCCTTTAACAAATATGGTCTATAATTAACAACAAACATAATTATGTAAACTGAAATTATCATTGTGATTTATACACACAATATTATAGGTAAAATATTCTTAACTTACAAATGTACATCTAACAGTACTTTCTGGTATGTCTGACTCACTTCACATGGTTAATACAGGTTAATACAATCATGAAACAATATACAGAAACTTTACTCTCTACAACAATCTGTAAAACTAAATAAATATTTACAACAAAAATAATCACTCTGTACACTGTTCTGCCAAAGTCTGATGTTTTACTTCAAGTATAATAATAAGACAGGTTTTGTTTTGTTTCCGTCTTTAAAACTCTGCATTTATTTTAGAAACACAAAACTAAAAGTAATGTGGGTGGGGTACACTTTTTTTCCACATTGACACAACATCTATTTTCATTTCAACATAAATAATAGCTGGTTGATGCCTTCCACTGAATTTCTTAACATTATAATTACTCAGACAATCTAGGTCTCGAGAACTATCCTGTTCATTTTGAAATACTGTGTAACCTCTTCAGAAAGGGCCCTTCGTTGAGCAATCACCTCTTCACAACAACTGTGTCATTTTCTACCAGTATCAAAAATTCACAATAAATCTAATTTTCACTTCACTGAAGCAACACCTTTTCTGAACAACCAGAATTTTATCTCTCCTAAAAGAATACTGCTGTGAAGGAGATATACGGTATTTTGCACTCACTTTACATTAATTTCTCAATTATACATTTTTGTAATTTTAGTTATACATGTATATCTGCATCATTTCATCTTCCAAACAGTGAGAATAGCTTGGGTTTACTCTTATTAAGTATCAAGTTTTGTATAGTGTCCAGGTCAGGTAATTTCTGTAGTGTTCCATACCCGGCTACAGCCGGCTTTGTTCTTAACATTTTCTGTGCCACGCGGCTTATATCTTCCGCTGTCACTTTTTCTGGAATATAAAACATTATTAATGAGCCGCGTCACGACAAAACCAACATAGTGCGTTTGCGGCCAGCATGGATCCAGCCTGCATATCAGCGCAGTTTGATCAGGATCCATGCTGTTCGCTATCAGTTTCTCAACTTGTAATTGGGTTTGTAAGCGAACAGCATAATCCTGATCAGACTGCGCGGATGCGCAGGCTGGTCTGGATCCATGCTGGTCGCAAACCCATTATGTTGGTTTTGTCGTGTCCCGGCTCATTTGTAGTAACAAATAAATCTGATGTGTTAATAATGTGATGATTTTTTTTTTCACAGGAAGGGGAAACTGCACTACCATGAGTAACGTGCATTAATGGGGGGGCGGGAGCAATGAACCCTGAAATGTTTGCCAAAAGAGGATTAAAACTTTACAATTCATGGTTTAATGTTGAATTCTGCTTTAGAGGTAGTGGACTGAGTTTGCACTGGACAGTATTGTCAATTAAAATGCTCAATCAAACCGAGCCTTCAAAACATTTTCAATTTTGCCGTTTTGGACTTTCTTTAGGGACTCTCAATTTCTCCATTTGACATCAAATGAATTTTAGAAATCTCCTGAGGAGAAGTAGCCTATAAACAGCCCCTGCTAAAGAAGGATAAAAGAGCCGTCCATTTAGCTCAATAGGTAGAGCCTTGGACTACGAATTGGGCAACCAGGGTTCGATTCCCAAATGGCATAGGTCACTTTCATTGTGATTGATCATGAAATATTTTCTATGATCATTCACACTGTACCTCAGCTCTGGCATTCATAGAAGTATTCAGTTCCTAGCTAAAGTAAAAGCAACTAGTACTGGTAAACTGCTTGACAGCCTGCCCAGGACTGATGTGGTGGCTGAACTTAGCTGTGGTAAATGCAATGCGGCTTACTGCAATGATCCAGAGTGAAAACTACCAACACAACCACCACCAAGAAGGATAAAATTGGACATTTTTGAAAGTGGCCATCATTACAAGGTTAAGTTCGGCTGTACTGTTGAAGGAAGATGTCAGGGTGACTACTTCATACATTGTAATAGTAAGTACAAAAGTAGAACCATTCACCTTCCATACACTAGCTGGGATAACTTCCAAACATGAAAGAATATGAAGTCCCTGATGGGTTTATACAGTGGAACAGATGAGAAGTGATTTAAACACACAAAACCTTAACCTCTGACTGTGACCATCAAACTGAACATTTAGTTACTACAAAATCTAATGATAAAGAAAAATACCTATAAGGTCAAGATAGTAATTCTGGCTGGTTTCTATAAACGGATGGAGAGCACCTGCCTGCCCTACAGTCCTCAAACACAACAGGAAACTTGTGTCCAAGTTCATCAACAGCATAGACTAGAAGCTGTTCTTTATAGCTCTGTTTAATTCAACCTAACAAATTAAAATTTGAGCCATGTGCACGACAAATCAACAATAATGGGTTTGCGACCAGCACGGATCCAGACCAGCCTGTGCACTTCAGCGCAGTCTGATCAGGGTCCATGCTGTTCGCTTACCGAACCCTATTAACAAGTTGAGAAACTGATAGCGAACAGCATGGATCCTGATCAGACTGCGCGGATGCGCAAGCTGGTCTGGATCCATGCTGGTCGCAAACACACTATGATGGTTTTGTCATGACGTGGCTCATTAATTGCAAATCATAGTTACATATATCTTATCAAAAACAACCGACAACCTACTTTCTGTATGGTACTAGAATAGCTTCCATGCATGACAGAATCAAAGCCCCGTTCCAGATGCAAATCAACAGCGGAGAAAAGCTTGGTGCTCACTGTTTGCAACCTTAATCAGCCACAGAGATCCAGTACCACTGTTGCTCCTTTAGAAAATTTTGCTACTTGATGTTCTTTTGTTGCTCGTGAACAAATTTTCATTCAAATTATGTTGATGAGGGCTTTATCTTTAATTCTTTTCTTTGCCTTTTTTGCTTTTAAGTGCAATGCTCCAAAGTTCTTAGATTTTATTGAAGGCAATTTACCTAATAGTCTATACCTATATTTCCCTGAATGATTTTGACAGAAATTTTCATCTAATGCTAATCTTTTAAAATTCTCTATGGGCACCGTCCATTTATTGCCATGATTTCAATAGTCTTGAGGGCAACTTTTACTTCTTATTTCTATGTTTTCAATACTCTGGAGGGCAGTTTTCATTCAATGCAATTGATCTTTAGGGCATTTTTCCCAGTTTAGAGTTTATTAGCATCTTAAAAAAATTTCCTCGAACAACATACCTGTGGTGTCTGCCCGGCTGTATTGACTAATTCTTTAGTTATAACCTCAGTCAGTTTGTCGAGCTGTGAAATATATAAACATATAAGTACTTTTGAAGAACAAATAATCAGCATGAAAACAATCAACAATGGAAAAATAATCAGTGGCATAAAAATAATTCATACTTCCTGTAATCTAGTGTTGCGACAATTTAGAACTAGGAATATTTATAGCTATCACTAAAGGTGATTGATATTCCCACCAACAACCTTGACTTTTTGAAAAATAAGTGGTCTCAAGCAAAATTTGAACACAACCTATAATTTATTATGTTTCATCTGTGTATCAATACAATTAATTACATATCTTCCAAATAAACAAAACATTTTTCTATTTCAGTAACAGTGACCTTGCTCTGGACAAAAGGGGCTCTGAACAAAAGGGGGTCCAAAAGCAATACTAACAAGTAACCTACTGTTTAATACCATGTTCCGTCATTCTGTCATCATCAGTTTCTGTTCATTATCTTAGTAACGGTTGCACATATTCAACTCAAATTTGACATAATAATTATGTATATATCATGAGAAAATACAGGTCATGGTTCTCGATGATTTTTGGCACGATGATGTTTGGCAGAGTTATGCCCCTTTCACTTTGAAAATAATATAAAATTTTCATTTTCTGTTCATTATCTACCCAACAGTATTACACACTCAACTCAAATTTGACATATGGATATGTCAAAGGAATGCGTAGGTCAAGTTCGAATTTGGTCATGGTTCGATGATTTTTGGCAGAGTTATGCCCCTTTCACTTTGAAAATAATATAAAAATTTCAGTTTCCGTTCATTTATCTCCCCAACGGTATTACACATTCAACCTTCATTTATTTAAAAGACAAGAGCAACATCAAACTAACCAGCAATTTTCAATTTTTCTACAAGTGACCAATTACCTATAACTGAGGTGAGACCATAAAAATCAATTTGTAACCTCTCCCATGTATCAAATCAGCAGCCCCTGGGATACAATTCAGATGCTTTCCTATTGAGCCCAAGGGGACAAGCCTGAAATATTATTATGTACAAGAAAAATCTTACCTTGCTTGGATGAAGAAGCTAGCCGTGTATCACAAACATCCCCGTGTCCGGCAAAAGCGTGATTTGTAGCCTGCGCATTTCTATCCAATGATGCCTTTAACAACAAATAATACAAGTGTATTTTACTAGGTTGATTACCTTTAATAAACAAATAATACAATGTATTTTACTAGGCTGAAGTACCTTTAAATAAACAAATAGAGGTGTAACTTTTAAAACTAATAGACATGATAATACATATGTATATTAAAGTTTCTCTACTAAACCCACAGGGATAACATTAATCATATAATTTTATATAATAAAACTAAATCTAACTTTGGCCATATATATTTGAAACCATTCACAATCAAACCAGTTGTTCGTAAATTTGAGACTTGATCTAAAAGTCCATCAAATATTGAATGCATGGTATCTTAAGATAGTGAGAAGTGGTGATAACAAAGCTTTTAGTCATAAACTGAAAGAAGCAAGATCTTTTTTTTCTTAGATAATGGATTAACTATTTTTACTGTTTGTTTCACAGTGCATCAAGACAATTTAGGTCATAAGGCGCCGAAATAGGAAAGATAAATTTGGGCTTATCTCTGGTGTTACAATCTCTCTAGTATTACAATCTTCAAGCAACAACAGGGGATGGAAGCACCTCACCTGCTGGAGAATGGTTCATACAGACTTCTTATACATAAATTCAGGGCCTTTTTAGGTTTTAAATGATTTCTGAGTAACTGGTGGGGAAAAAACATGACCTTTAGACTCAATGTCCAAGAATGAAGATCACATGTCTCAGAGAAATTACACCTTGCCCAAGGATAGAACAAGCGACGTCAAAAGTACTAATTACATGTTGTCCTTAATGAGCTAAGCAGTACTAGTTTATTATCTAATGCATTGTGATAGCTACACTTACTTATTCAACACATTCAGGTAAAGTCTAGTGTACATGCCTTTCCCAGGTCCGCCCGCAGAAAATGACCCCCCGCCTCCTAGTAAATTCATTAGTACACAAAATGTTACAAAATCATCGTCCCTGTGTGAGCAACTCTCTAGTCCAATAACTAAATGCGCAAGCTCTGGCATTGGATTTGGTCCGAGACTAACATCTGATAAATCTTGTTCTTCCTGCCAGATAAAAGGAAAAAATAGAAATTATTTGTTTTTCTATTATAGCTTCCATGCGAAAGTGAGGCTAAAAAGAAAACACAATGATTACTTTCCTTCTTAAACTTTTAACTTGTTACTGTAGTTTTTTGTTTGTTTGTTTCATTTTACACCTTTTCCCAACAGTATATCAGTCATATAGGCGGGTAGTTTCATAACCATCGTTCCTGGAGAGTTACACCAGTACTAGACAACCTTCCTCTGAGCTAAACTACCAAAGCATCTCCCCGGGATCGAACCCACGCCAAGAGATAACTGGATTAGAAGTCATCTACTCTAACCCCTCTACCACGGAGGCGGTTTGCAGTATAATAAACTGCGGTGCAATTAACAATAATTTTATGATAATGAGGTTAATATCAAAGTCTATTGACCACTCTCAAGTGTATTAATTTTGAATATCACATTAGCCAGGTAAGAACACTGTCTGAATCTACAAATAACTCATGTTCATTTTATGTCATGTCGATTCTGATTGGTCGTCTAAGTATCCTCAATCCTGTAAAGTCATTAACAATTGATTTCTCATAATAGACTGTCAAATTTAGTAACGCTCTTTAAGAGGTAGTTTGTTTTAATCAATATCAACAGATTAATGTTACTTTCTATTGACTGTTAATAGCAACACAGGTAAATTGTTAGTAATATTATAACAATAAAAGAAAAAGTGCACCTTTCTTCTAACCTCATAACCTCCCATTCTGCCCAAAAATTTGAGTGGACTTCAGCTTTTGACTCGTTCGTAAAATGTTTGCGGGATATCAGATTTGTTTTTACTTTAATGATTTCTTAAAGCAAATTACATAGATAACAAAAACCTGTGTTTGGTAAACAACTATGCCCTAGACCTGATTCTTGTTAGTTACAAATTTAACAAAATGGTGGGCTTTTCAACTCGAACTGAGTAAATAGAAAAGTATATGATTGTTTGATTTTCTAGTTTTAATGCTGATTTGAACTCATTTTTGGTCACCATCAGTCATACTGTGACATCAATGCACAACTAAACAACTAACCATTAACTGGAAAGTGACCAGCTACTTATAAATCCTAACTGATTTCTGAATTAGTGGCAAGAGTCAAATGACTATTATGATTAGACACAATGTCTGAGAACAATTGCCAATGCCTTGCCAAAAGATTGAAACAACGACCACTGGATTATAAATCCCTAATGAAGTGAGCTGGCCGACCCCATGAATGGTGCCAATAAAACTAATGAGCCATGTTTAATAAAGTTAAAGACCTATGTTATGTGTAATGAATGTGAAATTATCCATGACTTTATTATAATATACCAAAAGTTAGCAGCCCAAAAGTTAGCAGCTAAAAGTGAAGTGTCTAGTTAAAATGAACAGACATGTAAACTTATTGCATGTACATGTTTGAGGGCTAACTAACTTTATAGTCAAAAAATATTAATAAATTTCATATTACTTTTTGTTTACATGTATATCTATAGATAACCTAAAGCTTTTTGACAGGCTTTATGGCCATTATGTAAATGCTTGTTAATGTTTATAACCAAGGTGGCTAGGTGAAAGTTATAATGCAAACAAAAGCTTAAATAGGCCATATTACATGTTCATGGCAAATTTATAAATTATAAACTTCCTTACTTTGAGAAAATAAAATGTAATTATTTTATAAATTGACAAAGCCATATTTATAGTTTATATAAAACAACACAATTATCCAATGAAAACCATCTTTACAAACAAGAAATATCATAAACATCAGATTACTGGCAGAATAAAAGTTAACAAACTTACAGTTACCAGTCCTCCAGTGTACTGTGCTATAGAACAATCCATGCCTTTGGAAGGGTAAATCAGAGATTTGTTTTCCGTCCAAATCGGTGACTTTGTGACGAAATGTTTCTCCGCCATATTGACGAGGGTGTCATGATCGATGCCAACACCCGCTAACACTACCCTCTTAGGATCATAGTAACTGTTCATATATGTGTACAGTAAACGATTGTCTATCTTACTGAGGTTACCAGCTGGACAGATCTTCGGTAGCCCTAGAGTATTATTTCTGTATCCAGCCTGAAACATATGTTATAAATTAACCCTTTCTCTGTTGATTTATTCATATGGACCTGTCCAAATTCAATTTTTGGAACTTTCCATTTTCAATTTTTGGGGAAAATCAAAATGAAAACTGAAGTCATTCAGCCTGCTGATGTGTAGGCCAGGCTGGATTGATCCAGAACATTTGCCCTCCCAAGAAATTAGCTCCCCCAATCTAAAAATGTATCATTGGACATTTGCACCACACCACTCCCCAAAATGGAAATGTTAACCTTATATGGACATGATTTGCTAATCTTTTGTTTCAATAATAAAGTAACAATAAATGCAATATAATTAAGAAATAAGCATAAGAATATAGCGGTGCATTTTAGGAGAGGGGGACAAATGTCAAAATTATTACCCAGGACCCACTTGTAAAATAAATGTGCTTTTAATTGAATTGAATTATTGCGACTTTAAAGAAAGAGCTGCCACCTAGTAGGGACCATACTTGACTTCTCTTGTTCCTCAAGACAAACACATCATTAAAGGAAAAATACTCCTAGAATACATAATTTTCTTGAACAAAATAAAATTTCAATTTTCATATTCGACAATGACGGTCAAGGTCATTCAAAGGTCACATTTGAATTAATCATGTCAGTTTTGTAATAAATGTTCTTTTGTCCCAATAACAAGTCAAATTCATATAAAAGATAACAAAGTTTATGACAATTTAAACAAAGTTCAATAATTTGACTTCAATGGTTAAGGTCAATTAAATTTCAAGGTCATTTCAGAATAATTTAACATGTCAGTTTTGATATATGTGTTTTTTTTGTCTTAGGATGAATCAAATCTGTAAATAAAGAACAAAGATATGACAATTTATGCAAATAACAATATTTTGACATTGAGTGTCAAGGTCAAATAAAGGTCAATGTTATATTTGAATTTTTCAACATAAAGATTTGTCACAAGTGTTCTTTTGTAAAATTATGAATTGAAAACATAAGTAAATAACAAAGTTATGACACTCAGCTAAATTCAATATTTGAAAATCAAAGTTTTAGCCAATCAGGCAAAAATCAAGTAGATTTCAATAATTTCACCTGGAAGGTCAAGGTCATTGACAAATGAAGGACACGGCAAATGATCAACTTGAAGATCTGGTCTAAATACTGTTATGTCAAACTATAAAGACAATCAAAATATAAATACTAAAGTTTAAGCAAATTATAGCAAAAATCAAGCAAAATTCAAAATTTGACCTTGAAGGTCATGATTATTTAAGAGTCAATGTTGATTCCAATCTGGTGTACTTGAAGGTCTTGCCCAAAGGTTTGTTGTGTCGAATATTAAAGACGATTCAAAAAAGAAATTTGAAAAAATAATGACTAATGTTAAAGTTTTGGGACGGCAACAGCAAAAGAAAGGACATCATGACTGTAGCAATAGATCCTTTATTTCTTCAAAAAAGTCGGGCTGAAAACATCAACCGCCAACAAAATTAAACTTACAGCAAAGATCATCTCTACCATCAGTGCCGTAGGGTCAGGGTTCATACGGAGAGACTCTAGCTCAAATCCAATTGCCTGTCGTGCCATCTCAATCTTAAATACACAATAGCAATGAGATTACATTTCGTATTCTACAGAAAATTATTGAAATTTATATAATAACAAATGACATAATGTCCATCTTTATTTTTGAAGTTTTTTTTTCCCCCCATATACATGCAGTACAGAAAATTTTATCAGATATAAGATAGAATATGGTCTTTCTTTACTTATATGCATATACATGTATATCACTAAGTGATGTTTACTATTTCTAAAACCAAGACAATAATATCATTAGGTCATTCACTTAAAGTAGGGCAACCGTTGGTGTCGAGACATTGGACCCCAACATGAGCGATATAATGAGGCTGTAGTGTACTTGTTCACCTCACAATATTATACTTTAAAATACATTTATAAATTTTTTTATGAAAATTGACATGAATCTGGAGGCGTGCTGCTTTAAACCGTTACTACAATGAGGTGATGATAAATTCACTAAAATCTCTAACATGGCTCATCACCTTTATCCACCTGTAAAAATGTAAACTAACAACATAATGAATACTGTGTCAACAGAAGACAAGGGCTAGTTGTATGAATAGGGCTGGTAAAGAAAAACAAGAGCTGTCAGTAGAACAGCCTGCATGTCTCAGTGCATGAAAGTAAAACCAGAGCCTCGATAATGTAGAAGTTTCTAAGTTTTAAAACAGCCATATTGTGTCAAAATCCAAATAAAAGTTATGATCCAATTGCTTTACTTCATATTATGCACTCAAATAAGTGTATTAATTTTCAACCAATACCCTTAAGTAGTTTTGGAGTTTCCAACTTGCACACAAAAACTTAACCAAAGTGTGACTAGGAACAGACAACTTTGCCCAAGCTAGAGTGAATACAATAGATTTTTCTATTCTTCAAATAGTCCAGATGAAAGTACAAGTAAATATATAAGTTCGGACAAAATTACTTCTAAGGGCTATCTGGTATGGAAAAAAACAATTAACAAACCTCCTCGTCACCGATGACAGGCTGGTAAACTACGTCAGACAGTATATCTAACGCCTCAGGTAGTCCCTCTCTTTCTAATGACATAGCATATATCATTGTATCTCTGAAATTTATAATGAAACATATCTAATATGTACAGTATATGCCATTTTATACCCAATAAAAGTGGACATGAAATAGCGTGTTTATGAATTTTTAAGGGAAAAAAAAAGAATTATTTTACAAGATATACATACACATTTAACTGTTGATACAAATATTGAGTGACCTTAGTACTAAAACATGGTCATCATTTTAATCCACTTATTCTTGTATTTAATTCATCGAATTTGTCCAAAACATAGATTTTTCCCTCACTAATCAGTATTATTCTTTTTACATTTCCTTTAACCAATCATTTTAGCCTTATATGATTACTGTTAGTTTCATAAAGGAATGAAAATAAAATCAAGATCATCTGATCCAGACTGTGATCTTCCCTTTCTGAACACGCAGCCAGAAGCCTGCTGATAAATAAGCCGCGTCATGACAAAACCAACGTAATGAGTTTGTGACCAGCATTGATCCAAACCAGGATGCACAGGCTGGTCTGGATGCACAGGCTGGTCTGGATCCATGCTGGGCGCAAACCCATTATGTTGGTTTTGTCGTGACGCGGCTCAAATAAAATCAAACCTTGAAGACTGACAATCACAAATGCCTCCAACTTTCTCTAACACTTGGTTGATTTTATCTCGATTTTCATAATTTGTTGTTTTCTGAAATAGATAAAATGGGATCTTCCTGACTTTTTTTCTTGTCTGTAAATCATCACTGACTCCCCGAAATTTGATGGCATGGATTTGGCATGCACGAAATTTGAAATAGTCCGTAATTATGAAGTTAGGGAATCTTATATGAAAATGCAAAAATTAAGCTACCAACAGTATAGAGCCTGGCCAAACTGCATGACTTTGATCTGGCACTATACTGGTGACAAAAGTTAATTTGTTACTTTGACCCTTAGGGCCCTTCAACTTTTGTCAACTATATTTTGTTGATTAACAAGTTAACTGCAAAGGCAAGGCAATATAGGGCCGAATATCAATTTTTTTGAGTAACACAAATAATCTTTCAATTACGACAGAGACCCAACCAATAAACTTGTCTAAAAAAAGTTTTATCTTAATAATCAGACATTTTTATCCTTAGTGCATGATTCATTTAACTTTTATAGAGGTAATATATATGCCAAATAAAGAGACATAGTATTTATCCACATAAAAAACAAGAGGGTCATGATGGCCCTGAGGTCGCTCACCTGTATATAGGCCCCCGGAGCGGGGCCAGTTTAAACCCCAGGGCTTTTATTTGAGCAAACCTTGAAGACACCCATTAGAAGTTTTTACTACACACATATAATGAAAAACAATGACCTCCCCCCCCCCTTTGGCAGGGCCAATTTAAACCCAAGGGCTTGGTAGACACCAACAAAAAGATGTTTCCTGCTTAAAATCTAACCTCTAGCTCATTGGGTTTTTTTAAAAGAAAATTTTTTAAGTTTTTACTATACACATATAGTTATAAAAAATGACACCTCTGGGGTGGGGGGGGGGGGGGCCAGTTTTAACCCCAGGGCTTTTATTTGAACAAACTTTGTAGACACCCAATAGAACAAGTTTCATGCTAAATATCTTAGCTCTAGCTCTTTGGGTTCTTTAAAAGAAGATTGTTTAAGTTTTTACTATATGCATATAGGGTAAATCAATGACCCCCCTTGGGCGGGGCCAATTTTGACCCCAGGGCTTTTATTTGAACAAACTTGGTAGGCACTCACTAGAAGATGTTTCATGCTTAATATCTAAACTCTAGCTATTTGGGTTTTTTCAAAGAAGATTTTTTAAGTTTTTGCTATACACATATAAGGAAACACAGAAAAAGCGGGATATAGGTGCAAAACGACCAACACCAGGGTAGATTTAACTGCTTTTAATGATGGTCAACCGGTTTCAGTCTCACTATAGACCTTCTTCAGGACAAATTTACATTGAAAATTAATAGCTAAAGTACACAAAATGATCAGATATGTAAATGACGTATGTTACTATATATAGTAACATGAACGTTCTGGTAATTGGCACTGTGCCAAGTCCTTGGTTAGTTTATTGATGAGACAGTTTTACATTTTTCTGGTGATCTGGATGATATGCTGAGTAATGGGGGTAGAGGTGATCGTCAGTGGGTTTCGTGTATACCGTTGTGTTTAAGTACCCGTTAGAGTCTTTTATGATTGTAACATCCAAAAAGTGAGCCGTTTCTGTGTCGACTTCGTAAGTGAACTTGATTGACTTGTGAAAGCTGTTTATAGCCTCCAGGAAGGAATACAATTCCTGTCGAGGGTGGGCCCATATCATAAAAATATCGTCAATGAACCGCCAACATTCCAATGGTTTATATTTTTGGGTTGCGAGAAATCTTGTTTCTAGGTAGGACATAAATCAATACACTTTTGTTGATATTCAATGTGGTGTTGAGTACGTGTATTTTGTATGTGTAGTTTTTTGAGTACTTTAAATCTCGTGATATTCGATTCTTCTATTTTCCGTGGTTGATCGGATTCGATTTTCCGTTACTTTGGGTTTGAATTAGTCTGTACCGAAAATACCGGAAGTGTTGTCAAGGAGGCTGACGGTGTTACTGCAGATGTCTCTACGTATGTTTCGTCCTCACTGCGGTCGAGATTCATTTGTTGGCAGGATTCCCTATCCAAGGGCTCAGAGATGCCTGTTGCAGTGGATCCACTACTGGATACGGGGTAGTAGGTGGATGACTATAAGTCTACCAACACTGCTCTTGATGACTCTTTGGTAACCCGGTGTGGGCGGATCCCCAACGGAATGCGTGCACCTCCGATGTATTAAAACACTGAAAAAGCGGGATATAGGAGGTGCAAAACGACCAACACCAGGGTAGATTTAAGGAAAATCAATGACCCCCGGGACGGGGCCAATTTTGACCCCAGAGCTTTTATTTGAACAAACTTTGTAGACACCCATTAGAAGATGTTTCATGCTAAATATCTTAGCTCTAGCTCTTTGGGTTCTTTAAAAGAAGATTTTGTAAGTTTTTACTATATGCATATAGGGAAAATCAATGACCCCCTGGGGCGGGGCCAATTTTGATCCCAGGGCTTTTATTTGAACAAACTTTGTAGACACTCACTAGAAGATGTTTCATGCTTAATATCTAAACTCTAGCTATATGGGTTTTTTCAAAGAAGATTTTTTAAGTTTTTGCTATACACATATAAGGAAAATCAATGACCCCCAGGGCGGGGCCAATTTTGACCCCAGGGCTTTTATTTGAACAAACTTGGTAGACACCCATTAGAAGATGTTTCATGCTAAATATCTTAGCTCTAGCTCTATGGGTTCTTTAAAAGAAGATTTTTTAAAGTTTTTACTATATGCATAAGGGAAATCAAAGACCCCCTGGGGCGGGGCCAATTTTGACCCCAGGGCTTTTATTTGAACAAACTTGGTAGACACCCATTAGAAGATGTTTCATGCTAAATATCTTAGCTCTAGCTCTATGGGTTCTTTAAAAGAAGATATTTAAAGTTTTTTCTTTCGGTTGCCATGGCAACCAGAGTTCTGCATGGAATTAAATTCTTTGAACAATTTTTAAAGGTGACCACCAAAGGAACATTCCTGTGAAGTTTGGATGAAATTGGCTTAGTGGTTTATGAGGAGATGTCATTTAAAGTAAAAGTTTACGGACGGACGGACGACGGACGAAAAGCGATCACAAAAGCTTACCCTGTCACTTTGTGACAGGTGAGCTAAAAACAAGATGTGTTTTCCTATAAGGTACATTGTCAACATGAAGAATGAGACTCCTGGTATACTGCAAATTTTGACCGGAGGGTCATGACTAAATGTAACTTTTGAAGAAATCAACAAATTGATTTTACATGCCAGATATCTCTAAGCTCTGGGCATTGTAGTTTCGTACAATATGACTTACATGTGTTTTCCTATAAATCAAGTGACCCAGGGCGAGGCTAATAATTAATATTGTCCCAAGGGGCATAACAATATTCGTTTTGCAGATGTTCACAAGGTAATACTACATGATAAATATCTTAAAGCTGCATGCCTCCAAATGACCAAAATAATTTCAAGAAAATTAAACTTGGAAAAAACATACTAAAACTTTGAGAAAAGTAAACAAATTAAAGATTCAAGTGATAATTTATATCTTATGTGCAATTAATGACTGTATTTTGTAGTATTTATCACTATATTTCTACTGCGTTACTAACGCAGTAGGGGCTATTTATGCATATATTGACCTCTTTTTGGTAATTTACGTTGATTTTAAGTGCCGATTGTAGTATGTCAAGTACTTTCTTTGTTCATTTCACAATATTTTACCTTTAAATACATTTTCAAAATTTTCATGAAAATTAGGATGAATCTGGAGGCGTGCTGCTTTAAACTCTTGGTATTGTAATTTTACAAAATAAGACTGAAATGTGTCTTCTCATATAAGACTATATCAACAAAATGACCCCAGGCAAGGGTAGTTCCTAGCGAAGACTGTTCTAGATTCAATGCTGGACTAGTCTGTTATAGAAATATAGCAGGTTAAGGGTTAAATTCAGTGTACAATAATAACTAAAGTCAACTACCTTAATCGCTCAGCCATTGAGTTCAAATATCAACATTAATCATTTGAAACCGAGTTTTGTTTGTTTTGGGTTTTATGTCACATGGACACAGTATAGGTCATATCGCGACGTTACAGCTTTAGTGGTGGAGGAAGACCTCAGGTGCCCTTCCGTGCATTATTTCAGGCACAAACAGGAACCTGAGTAGAACCACTGACTTTCCGTATAAAGCTAGCTCGATAGCTTCCTCACATGAAAGAATCCAAAGTCCCTGTCGGGATTCGAACCCACAGTGGTGAGGGGCAAGTGATTTGAAGTCAACGACCTTGAAACTTAGTATAATGCATGAATGGTGTAACACAAATATGTTGTCAGTTATCATTATAAAAACACGCTGAGCCAATAAATTGTTAAAGCACAAGATCAAATGCACTTCCTGCATGTAATAACTTACACTAAAAGCCAGTTTCTCCAGGAAATGGTTTATACCACTGGGGTAGTTTACTTCATATCTTGAACCAGAGTCGATCAATACACCAACAGTACAAAACTCCCCAAATTTATTCTCCGACGCCACTCGTAAGCCATTGTCTAGTACCGTCACCTGAAATAGTTGTAAAGAAAATTAACTCTAAGCCAGCCTGATAGTGGCAACTGAATCTGCCCATGTCAGTACTTACTATGAAAATTTTACCTAAAATTGATAAATAATTTGTCCCACATTACAAGATGGACAAGTGTATTTAAAATAGTTAGTGTTAAATAAGTTAAGCAAACAGCACACACAAATTCTTTTATTGTCATTATTTTAATTATATATATTATCAAATTTAATTTAAAACTACAATCAAGTACTCTCACAACCTGACTGAAGTTCAGATCTACTTATTTCTTACATGATTTTAATCAGACTGGTACTCTGACAATAGTTTCTACATTAACTGAAACAAACTTCTATAAAAATACATAAACACTATGTCTTACAACTGTAAGATTACTCAATACTATACAAACCTGGGTCTCATGTTGTGTTTTGTCAGCCACGGCATACCTTGGTGGGGGAAAGTTTGGAGGCCTTGATGATAGAGGCACATTTTTCATAGGTATGTCAGCATTTCCCCCTGCCTCTCTACTACTACAAAGGTATCTTTTACAACATTTCCTTCAAAAAGAAAATGACTTTCATTGATTACATGTATATACAGTCAAACTTGTCAACAAAGGCCACCAAAAGGAAAGTGTAAATGTGAAATGCGGCCTTTGTTCAAATTATACCACAATGTTGGATGAGAATCTTTTAAACTCTCTTCATATGCCTGTTTTCTTTTTGAATATGCCTACTTATACCTTTCAATTTTCCGGTGATTTTAACAAACATTTTTGTGTGTGTGTTAAGTGAATGCATTCTGTTCAATCTATCACATATTAGGTATAAAAAGGTTGATTTTTTAGCAACAGTCAACAGAGTCTATTACCGTTTGTTTGCCACTGTTTTATGTTTCTTGTATCAGAGATGAAACTCCGGCGCATGCAACGACCTACCTACCAATCAATGCAGATATTCAAAGCTTCGGACAAGTAAATATTAATTCATGAAATAATTATTTTTTGTGTTTGATATTTAAAGTGACATAACAGTTATTTTGTCCCGTTTAATTAGAATTATATTTCAACAGATAGACTAATATAATAATGATAGACGGATAATTAATCATGAAAAAAGTGTGTGATACCCAGGTTTCTGTGCGCCGGATTAAATTACATATAGTGGAACCCCTTGTATCGTGCTATTCATTGTATAGATATATTTACAAATCATTCAATTTATTTGCAAAATGAACTAGCTACTGATTGTTTACATTTACAACAGTGTCACGCAAATCTTTCGCATTTGTTTTGTGCCATAACAATGATCAAAAACATGTTTCCAGTACCGTCAGACTTTGTAGATAATAAAAAGACTTATAAATAGTGTGTTCTTATTAAATGTACATTAACTGTCTGTTGAAAGTCCCTAAATTTATGCTGACATTTTAAAACAGACATCCTTAATTCTAATTGACTGAAAAATCTAGCAAACACTAAAAAAGATGGGCCAGGCTTCCCAATCTTTGACTAACTGAGCGATTCTCACAATGCATCGATATAATGGCGTGACCTAATTCTTCAACCTGTTTGACATGTCTGTAAATATCCAAAAGCTAAAAACTATATATTAGTGATGTTTGCCATGTAAATATTATGACAAAAGAATCAAAATAAATGATACAAAATAAAGATTCAGGGAGATTTAAATTTTTTAACTGCAGTTGTGATTTATGGGTAAATAGATCGAAACAACGGGGTTCCAGGCTAAATAACTGTCCTGTTCTAAGTCGACTCCTGTCGCGAAAATAGATGATTAATTGCTCTAACGTCATATCTTTTAACATAGGACAATGAACTATCATCTCTTCAATATCTATAAAGTATATTTTGTATGTACCGCAATAATATCTCAGAAATTAGCTAAAGAATACCTATTTATATTCTTGCAACCTTGGCCGAGGATATTTCTCAGCATGCGAGTCGCCATTACAAAGGTCAGAGACCACTATGCGTTTTCTGAGGCGTCATAGGCTACACTGTACTAAATCAGAATGTGACATTTTCAAGATTGAAAATAAAAATAGTGTCGTTTTACTGATATGAGAATTGTTATCAAGTAATAGAGCCATAAATGTAAGCTATCCAGTTATATTGCCTTCCTAAATCACAGATATATACAAAGTCCTACGCATAAACCCTTCCAGCCTGCTGAATCTCAGTAAGGGCTTATATCAGCTAGTAAATCACTATTAACTGTATGTCTCCCATTAACACGTCCACTGAGTTGAGAGTTTTGTCATTATTAATTGCCCCTCTGTATTCTTATCGAATGGCCCCAACGTTGAAGGATCAAATTTCTGTAGAAGTACACTCTCCAAATTTATCAATGTTTTTTCTCCTTTCTTATGTAAATAGGTCTGTGGCCCAATTGAATTGTGAAACTTAGCAATTATTTGTAAATATACTTTATAACATACAATAATTTTTTTAATTAATAATAAATAAAGTTAAATAGTTAAGTGTCACTGTTACTCATGTTACAGACTGTTCAACCCCCCCCCCCTCTCCCCGCTAAAAAACAAAAACCAAAAATAAAAAAAATTACTGCTTAAAGATGTAACTTTTACTGCAAAGTGCAAGACTCTAAACTTAAAAAAGACCAGGTAAGTGATATTTTTTTATTATTAGCTCGACTTTACTAAGAATATGGTGAGTTCCCCTACTCACCTCGGTTTGCAAGTCGTCGTCAGCGTCCATACTTTATATTAATGTTCATGTGCCTATAACTTTTTTTATTTCTTAAGGTATCAATTTCATATATATATATTCCTTATCATCATCCACATCATTTGATAATTAAGGTGCAAAACTCAATATCCCCTTGAACTTAAAATAATGTTATATTTTACTCTAACATCTTCATTTCGTATTAAAGTATTGACTTTAAACTTCAAACATGTGTTCCTTATCATCAACTACATCATATGTGACAATGATTTTTTTAACTCTAGCACCAATTTTTCCAGAATTATCTCCCCATGAACTTTTTTCTCTCTCAAAAAATGTTACTTTTTACTTTGTACCGGAACGGTGTAAACTTTAGCGATGCTGCTACTGGTTTTCACGCTTTGCAGAAATTACGTTCTCCGCCTTATTTTTGCGGCAAATTAAATCTAATTTTTTCCCGCATCTCTTTGAGTTAGCGAGTAAGTTATGGCCTATTTTTGTATTATGTGATTGTTATAGTATATTTTCTTTCCTTTTCCATATAAAGATCACGTTAATTAAGCATGTAGAGTCCGTTGTGTGTGTAAAATCATAGGCGCTTTTTTGCCGTGCTAGCCGTTCCCATTCCGTACGGTTAGGTTAAGCACCACTATTTTCATTTGGGTAATATGCCACTAAATCATTGTGTGTGAAAGAAAAGATGGTTAAATAGATTTATGTTTTAACTGTTGATTTGTGACAATTTAAGTAATTTTTATACCAGTTGAGTGTTATGTTGGGCTATTTTGTAATGATGCTTGTTTAATTAAGGTGTCATGCCCTTTTGTCTTAGACTAGAACCTTTTGAGATATTTGCAGTATTATTCACTGTATTGCTTTAAAACCTTTTGATATGTTAAGGTTGTTACAATTATAATTGTTTGTTTACAGAGATGAGTGTTAAGACAGGAAGCATACTGTCCAGTCATTTCAAGCCAAGTTAGACAGTGCATGACGTAGGTCATTTTTCATATGTAAAACAAATATGTTACTTGCTACATTTTTGGACCATATATTTTGCTTACATACTTGAATAGATTTATAGACTATATTGGTTGTTGATAGAAATATTCAATTCATACTTTAACTTTCTAGTCAGTTGGTAAAACATTATTATTTTTGTGTAGCTTTATTAAATAATTTTTAGTACATCTTTTCTGGTCAACTAGTTATAACTTTGTCTCGACATATCAGAATGATAAATAACTCAAGACTTATTTACTTAATATGTATTTCTTGTTTGTTCCAGTTCTTACGAAATAAATCCATAAAGCAACTTGGGTCGTTTCGTTATCTATCTGTCAGCTAAGGACAGAACAGTAAGAAGTCGGTAGACGTCCAGCTTGATTGGTGTAGTTTCAAAGCAGCAATGTCGGATTCAGAACAGAGTGATAAACTGTTGAATGACTTTTATGAATATGATGCTAAACTTGATGACTCTGTAAAAGCAGTGTTAAAGAAAATCGATGAGAGACTAAATGAAACAGACTACGTTTCACGAGTATCTGCACAATCTGGCAGAAGTACAAACTCACAAACCAGCTCAGCAAGAGCACGCGCCAAACTAGAAGCTGCAAAGGCTCGAATGGAACTGTCAAAAAAGGAATTGGAATTGAAAACAAAGCAAGCGCTGATACAAGAAGAAAAAACAGTTCGCGTTGCAAAAGCAGATAGAGAGGAGAAGGTTATTCAAGCCGAGTTAGATCTCTTGAATGAACAAAAGATTTTTGCTGAGGCAGAAGCAGAAAATGAATTGTTTGAAACAATCAGTGAGTGTGATCTAGGTAGTTCTGTTGGAATCAAAGAAGAGGAGTCGCATGCTGAAAGAACAGAAAATTACGTGCGTGAACAACTGCATTATGTTAATGACAAAAATCAAAATGTGAACACTGAAGGAGAGCAATCTGAAATAAGACTCAATCCTAGTGCTCAAGTTTATACTCCGATACAGTCTGCAGATATGTTTAAAGACTTTGGTAAATTTCTTGTTAAAAAAGATGTAATGTTACAAAGATTTTCTAAATTCAATGATGACCCAACCCAGTACGTAATTTGGAAAAATACTTTTAAGAACGTTGTTGGGGAATTAGAGTGCACACCTAGTGAAGAAATTGATCTCCTGATGAAATGGCTCGGTCCAGAGTCATCCCAACAAGCAGGCAATTTACGAGCAGCAAACTGTCACGATCCAGTCATAGGTCTAGTGAAGATTTGGGAAAGGATGGAGGAGAGATATGGTGCACCGGAAATGGTTGAAGAAAAGCTGAGAAAAAAGCTAGAGGCCTTCCCGAGATTAGGCAATAAAGATTACAAGAAACTATACGAACTAAGTGACGTTTTGTCAGAGATAGAAAGTGTGAAAGAGGAACAATTGTATGCAAATATTGTAGGGGTATTTTGGCTCACCTATAGGGTGTAGAACCCCGACTTATTGCTAAATACAGTCCAAATCAAAACAACATGTCTGATAGGGGAGAAAGTTTAGTCTTAACACTTGTAGTCACATTCACCCTTTACCTTTTTTGTTAGCTTCATTAAAGAGATGTGTAGTTTATACAATGATCCAAGTTTCAGGCATGATCAATCTACACAGAAGGGGCACAGGGAAGAGGCGCAGCAGAGATCTGGAAGACCGTTGCGGATCAATGCAAACAAAGGTGAGGTTAACAATACAGGTAGGACGTGCCCTTTACACAAATACGCGCAACATACGCTTGACACCTGCAGAGAATTTAGGAAAAAGCCCATAGAGGAACGAAGGCAGTTTTTAAAAGATAATAAGTTGTGCTTCAGGTGTTGCAAGTTTGAACATAGAATTAGGGACTGCAAGGTACCAATTAAGTGTGATGAATGCAATAGTTTGAAACATACAAGTAGCCTACATTTTGATTGGAAACCAACAGAAAAGTATGACAAGCAAAAGGACAATGACAAGAAGCAAGAGAGTCCAAGTTCAAGAAGTCACGATAGTGTTAACTCCAAGTGTTCTAAATTGTGTGGAGATGCTTCTTTGTGCAAATCATGTGCCAAAATACTTAAGGTTAACGTATACCACAAGGATAATACCAATTTTAAAGTAAAAATGTACGTTGTCCTTGACGATCAAAGTAATAGAACGTTGGCAAACTCTCGCTTCTTTGACATCTTCAAGAACATCTGCTCTTATAAAGAGATAGAATATACCTTGTCTTCATGTAGCGGAAAAGTTACCACATCTGGGCGCACAGGACAAGGTTTCATTATAGAGGGTAGTGAAGGACCCAAGTTCAATTTACCATTAATTACCGAGTGTTCAGAAATTCCGGACAACAAGGAAGAAATTGCAACTCCTGACGTGGCACTGAAATATTCTTACCTTCGTCGAATTGCTGACGATATACCAGACTTAGACGAGGAAGCAGACATCATGTTGTTAATTGGCAGAGACCTCCCTGACGTACACCATGTGAAAGACCAAATTGTCGGTCCGGATGGTCCCTATGCACAGTTGCTTAACTTAGGATGGGTCATTATCGGAGAAACATGTATTAGGAATGCCCACATACCTCCTATCTATGTTAAGAAAACTTCTATTCGAGACGGACGACAGTCGATTCTCCCCTCTTGTTCAAAACTTTATACTATAAAGCACCATAGTGTTGATGATTGCCATGGTTTGGCATGTGATCTTTTTGTTAGAGATAGAGACGACAATAAAGTTGGCACCTCCATAGAGGATCGAGAATTTCTGTCAATCATGGAAACAAAGTGTAAGAAAGACGAAAGAGGTTATTGGGTAGCACCACTTCCTTTTAGATTGGACAGACCGTTGTTACCAAACAATCGCGATATCGCCCTTAGACGAGCATTGATGTTGGACGCAAGCCTCAAAAGAAATACAACCAAGGCAAAGCACTTTGTTGAATTTATGTCAAAGGTCATGAAGTCGGGAGCTGCAGAGGTTGCACCACCATTGGGCAATGGAGAAGTCTGGTATTTGCCAATTTTTGGTATATACCATCCTAAAAAACCAGACAAAATTAGAGGCGTATTTGATTCCTCAGCCATCTGCAAAGGAACATCCTTGAACAGTACCCTATTGTGTGGACCAAACCTGATCAATAGTCTGTTAGCAGTATTATTACGGTTCCGTAAAGACTCTTGTGCAGTAATTGCGGATATAGAACAAATGTTTTACTCCTTTCTTGTGCAGGAGAACCATCGCGACTACTTAAGGTTCTTTTGGTATAGGAACAATGACCCTGATGACAGTTTGATAGAGTACCGCATGTGTGCTCACGTGTTTGGGAATAGCCCATCACCAGCAGTCGCTAATTACTGTTTACGAAAGACTGTTGAAGATGCAGAGAAGGATGTAAATGCCTTTGTCAACAACAATTTTTATGTAGATGATGGCCTTATTTCCCTACCAAATACTAATGACACTATAAGCCTCATGAAGAGAACCCAGGCTTGTCTCAGTACTGCCAATCTAAGACTCCATAAGATAGCCTCTAACAAAAAACAGGTCATGAAGGCCTTTCCTGAAGAAGACTTACAAAATGATCTTAAATCACTTAACCTTGATGTAGACAAGCTACCTGTGAACCAGAGCCTTGGTTTGTCTTGGGAACTAAACTCTGATAGTTTTAGATTTAGCCTGGAACTTGAATCGAAGCCTTACACACGCCGTGGTCTTCTCTCAACTCTGAATAGTGTGTACGACCCCCTTGGTTTCGCAGCGCCTTTCACCATTCGCGGAAAGATGTTACTCCGAGAAATTACTACAGGCTGCGACTGGGACGAACCCCTTAATCCTGATTTACAGACAAAGTGGGATGCCTGGAAACATTCTTTGCTGTCTCTGCGTGAACTCACAATCCCACGAATGTACTTACCTGAGTCATTGAGTATGTGTATTGACAAACATCTGTGCATCTTCTCGGACGCATCTGAAAAGGCTGTAAGTGCAGTAGCGTATATAAGGTCTCAGAGTGACAGTGGTGAAGTTTTAACAGGGTTTGTCATTGGTAAGAGTAAGTTAGCCCCTACACATGGTCATACCATACCTAGGTTAGAGCTTTGTGCAGCCCTCCTAGCAGCAGAACTAGGTGAGACAGTTATCAGTGCCCTTGACGTAACTTTCAACTCTGTTAGGTATTACACCGACAGCCGTGTAGTGCTTGGTTACATCAACAATACAACCAGACGTTTTTTCAACTATGTATGTAATAGAGTACAGAGGATTCTCTTCTTAACGAAAGCTGACCAATGGCAGTATGTGAATACAAAATCCAACCCCGCTGATATTGGGAGCAGAGGATGTATGTCCCCAGAACTGTTGACTACTTGGTTACAAGGTCCAGACCTTTTGCAGACTGCAAAAATGGACACTTCTGAAACCTTTCCCTTGATCTTACCGGATAAAGAGGTACGGCAAGCAGTTTCTGTGCTGAAGTCCTCAGTAACTACGAGCACAGCAGACCACTTTGAACGGTTTTCTTGTTGGAGAAGACTGGTAACAGCATTTGTTGTCCTTAAGAGAGCTGCTAGAAACTTTAAATCCCGCAAATCATCTGATTTGAACAAATCTGCTTGCGACAAGATATCTACATTGGTGGACTATCGCAAAGAAGCAGAACTCTTCATTGTTAGAGCGAGTCAGTCGAAGACATATTATGATGAAATAAAGTGTCTTCAGAAGTCAAAACCAGTTGATAGGAACAGCCCAATTGTTCAACTTAATCCAGTTTTGGACAAGGATCAGAATATTCGTGTTGTGAGCTTTATGTCTTATAGATAAGCCCAAACTTTTCTAAAGACTTATGAAACCGAGTACCTTGTTATCAAGCAGAGATACATCTCAAACATTTACTGCTGCGTTAACTACGCTATACCTATGTAACCCCAAGACACACATACTGAAGAGCTATACGTAACGCGTGGATATTGGATTGTTGGGGCCAAGAGGCTTATATCACGTATACTTCATAGATGTGTAACTTGCCGTAAAGGTCGTGGGAAAACAGAACATCAGTTGATGGCTGATTTACCGACAGATAGGCTAGTTCCTGGTCCTCCTTTTTCTTACGTAGGTGTTGACGTCTTTGGACCCTGGGAGGTGGTAGCACGACGCACCAGGGGAGGAGTTGCTCATGCAAAACGTTGGGCTGCACTTTTCACATGCTTAACCACCCGAGCAGTCCATATAGAAGTTCTTGAGGAGATGTCCAGCTCATCCTTTATCAACGCATTACGCCGCTTTATCGCTGTTAGAGGGAATGTTAAAGAATTCCGTTCGGACCGTGGCACAAACTTTGTCGGGGCGATGGATGATCTGAAATTTTAACGCTTGTAAAATGTGAAGAGTTGAACCCGTGGCGTACTGTTGGCTAAGAGCGTGTACAATGGAAATTAAAACCCCACTCTTCCACCATGGGTGCGAGTCTGGGAGCGAGTGAATATGGGATGTTCAAAGATACTTGGAATAATGTCATTCAAAGGCTGCAACCCAGCATTTCAATGAGGTGTTTAAGTGACCTTCATGGCAAGGTGATGCCATTGACTCAATGACCTATTGCACCGACTCTCTAACGATCCAGACAATGTAGCCTTTCTGTACTCCTTACAATTTTATTGAACCAGAAGATTGATGGACCCTCCATTGTTTTGACTATGGCACCTCCAGACAGTACAAGAACAGGGAAGATTGTACCAGGTCTTTTGACTGTTCTGAAAAACAGATAGAAGGAAACTACAAAAACCTAAATATAAAGCTTCAATCAATGAGAAATGGCAAAAGCAAGAAGTGGCAGTCAATGATGCGAGACTGTTTTGGCTATTGAAGGATAAGACTATTGTTCGTGCAGAATGGCCTGTCGGTGTGGTTATTAATGCAATACCTAGTGAGAGTGACAAACTTGTTAGAAAAGCTGAAGTCCGAGTCTGCAAACATGGCAGATGTAGCACTTTAACTCGCCCAATTACTGATATGATTCTTCTTGTTAATTAAGACTTAATCAAAAAACGCTAGATATAGGATTTTGTGCTTAATTGATGTTACCTCTGTTAAAACATGTTTTTGGTTACTAGTATATTACTTGAACTCTGTGTACCTGCTTGATTGATTGTACTGGCCAGTATGTGTGACTGCTGAAGTGTATGTATGGTGTATGATATTTTTTCACTTGAATTGTATCTTTTCATGTTTTTTCTGTAATATTAGTTGTGTGACTTGTAAATACCTATGTGCATTAGTAAATTTTGTGTCAATGTTGAGGACAAGACTCATATCTTCAGTACCACATTACAATATTTATGTTCATTTTGATATAATTATGTACCTTAGGTCATTTATGCTATAATTGTAAACTTTTTTCATGTATCACTTTCATATGCATTTATGATAATTGTATGTTAATAGGTCTTTTTTTTATCTTGTTTGAACACTACAGTGAATTTTAAGGTGTTCCACACATGAGTGCATTAATTAAGGTGGTTCTCACATTAGGTTGTTTGTTTTAAGGTGATTCCTCACAGGGGGAGTGTACCGGAACGGTGTAAACTTTAGCGATGCTGCTACTGGTTTTCACGCTTTGCAGAAATTACGTTCTCCGCCTTATTTTGCGGCAAATTAAATCTAATTTTTTCCCGCATCTCTTTGAGTTAGCGAGTAAGTTATGGCCTATTTTTGTATTATGTGATTGTTATAGTATATTTTCTTTCCTTTTCCATATAAAGATCACGTTAATTAAGCATGTAGAGTCCGTTAGTGGTGTGTAAAATCATTAGGCGACAGTTTGCCGTGCAGCCTTGCCCATTCCTACGGATTAGGTAGCACCGATATTATTCAGTTCTTGGTAATGCCACGAGATCATTGATGTGGAAGAAGGAAGAGGGGTGGTTAAAGTTAGAGCTTGTATGTGGTTTTTAGACGTGTGTGATTTTGTGACAAGGTGTTGTAAGTAATAGTGGGGGGTGGGGGGGTGGGGGTATGACAGTGTAGTGTTATTTGGGCTATTTGTGAAGTGGATGCATTGTTAGAGGAAGGGCGTGGGGGGGTTGGGGGTTCATGCCCCTTTGGTCTGGTGGAGAGATACGCTTTTGAGGGATGTGCGGGAGTGATGGTTATTAAGCGGTGGTATTGAGCTTTTAAGGGAGACCTTTGTGATGGATGTAAGGTGTGTTAGTGCAGGTTATAGATTGGGGTGTGGGTTTACTAGGATGGGATGAGTGTGGTGAGGGAGAGGGAGGAACATGGTCCAGTCATTTCAGTAGCCAGAGAGACATGCGTATTGATCGGGGTGGTCATGTGTTCGGGGAGTGAGCGAGAAGTGTGTACTTGCTTACATTGTTGGTACCAGTATGATTTGGCTTACGTACTGGAAGGTAGATTTAGGGTATGAGCGGGGGTATGAGTGTGTGTTGAGAGAGAGTGAGATTCATACTTAACTTGTCGTGGGGGTCAGTTGGTGGTAGATAGAGATTAGTTGGAGTGTTGTGGGGGGGGTGGTTAGCTTTGGATTAAGATGTTTGTAGTAAATCTTGTTTGCTGGGGTCAACTAGTTATAACTTTGTCTCGGACCAATAATCAGAATGATAAATAACTCAGACTTATTTCACTTCAATATGTAGTTTCTGTTTGTTCCAGTCTTACGAAATAAATCCAAAGCAGACTTGGTGTCGTTTCGTTATCTATCTGTTCAGCTAAGGACAGAACATACTTTCTTTTTTATTCTTAAGGTATCTACTTCTATAACTTCAAATATATTTTCCTTATCATGTGTGACAAGTTTCATAACTGAAGCATGAATATATCCAGGATTATTTCCCCCATTAAACTTTTTTTTTAAATAAAAATTGATATTTTATAACCTAAAACAATAACATGGCAAGCTTCATAACTCTAGCATCAATATTTTCAGAATCATCATCCCTTTATACTCAAAATTCCTTATTAAATTCGGACTTCAACAAGAGCTGTCACACATGAAGCGACGAATGCCCCCGAAAAGGTTCTTAAGCATGCAGGACTGGTAGTATGAAAAAGAAAAAAAGAGATTTGAAAGTAACTAATTGCTTAATATTTTTCTTTGTACTATTGTACCTATAATCTCTAATTGTTGATAGCGTGAACCTTCAAGAACCTTGAAGAAGGGACGTGGTTCCTGGACTCGACAGAATGTTGTCATGAGATAGACATTTGTGCCAAGTATTATTTTAAAATCCCTCAATACATGACAAAATTACATACCGCACACGATTGTGTTGTGTAAGTGGTTACACATGGACGGACAGACGGACATGAGCCTTAGCTGTGATACATCGTCCTGATGTGGTAGACATTTGTGCCAAGTTATTATAAAATCTTTCCATGCATGACAAAGTTAGAGTGTGGACATGAATGTGTGTATCTTCAAACTCTTTTCGAGGAGAATGAGTACCCTTAAACTATAAGTATGACTTTGACCTGAAGGTAGGGACATGTGTCTTAGTGTACATTTCGCTCATTGATGTGGAAGATTTATTGCCTAGTTATTTCGGTAATCCTTCAGGCATGCGTTGTGTAACTATAAACCTTAATTTTGAATATATGTGAACTTCAAATGAAATGTGACCTTACCTCTTGACGGTAGGGGCGTGGATGAAATGGACGCCACAGCATTCATCTGTGATTGGGAATAGGCAGTTTTATGCAGTTATTGAAAATTCTTTCCATGCATGACAAAATTTTACATTCCACGACACACAATGTGGAAAACCAAGTACAATTTACTTCTGATAAAGTGAAATAATTCACAAATGTTACGTGTGACTTGACCTCTAAGGGTAGGACCGTAATGCTGTGGACGCACACATCCTCTTGAGTTTCGTGACATGTTAATGCCACTATTTTGAGTTTCAATAATCATTCCGATGCATGACAATTATTGAGTCCGGACACGAATGAATGCACGGGCGCACAGACAGATGACGTTCTCAGTACAGACAGAACGAGCGTGCGATTTGAATATGGTTCCTTCAGCAGCAAAAAAAACCTGTTTTGTTTTTTTTGTTTTGTTTTTTTTTTTTAATTTTTTCCAAAAACCCACCTTATATACACTGCGATTATGATTTATAACTCAAGTCCTGTCATTTCTAGAATTTCTCCCATTTCATGTTTTTGAACTAGGTATTGATTTGAAAATTAAATCTTAATTTCAAAGAATTACTCTTTCGTTATCGATAGAATGACAATCAAACTTCTAGACTTCAGATAAATAGTCCTTTGTCATTACTTTGATCATGCATGAAAAGGTTCATAACTCTAGCATCCTTATTCCAAGAGATATTTCCTCTTTAAACTTAATGTAATTCACTGAGGTATGATATGCATTTAATATGAAGTAATTTACGCAAGTATTTTCATTGTGAGTTGTAAGTGATTAAAAACCTTTTTAAATGTAATCCATTTTTTTTGTCTTTAACTATTTTATAAAATTGTATGTAACTCTTTACACTCAAAAGTTAAATCTTATTAGTTTTTCGTTACATCTATGAATGTTCTCTATGTCTTCAAGCTTAAACTATACATTCTTGAAACATGATAGGATCATAAAACATTCAAGGGTGCTGCTATCAGCAATACAGTGACAAGCCGTGTAATTATATTTAAATGCTCATCACTGACTAGAGATAGGAAATTTTGGGGAAAAACTGGAAATCTTGGGTTTATGCGTAGGACTAAACAATCTTATTATTTAACTCCATGGTGAAATATATCTACATTTTCTATTTTTTTCTTATTTTCTGTGATAATGCAAAACTACTGTGATAATATAGAATGCTTAAGTCTACAGTCAAGCTACTGAAATCTAATGAGCATATTTTGCACATTAATTTACAAAAGCAATTAAGTAAACCTATACTTAGAAATTCTAAGATTGTTTCGGAGATTGTATTACTTCTTTATCTATTTTTTTTCTTAAGAAATAAAATTATGGCTCTCTGGTGTCATTTTGTTCTATTGTTGGTTCACAGGACCCCATTGGACATAAGCTTACCAGCTTATATGATGGGGTATCCTTGTAACTATATAGATCACTTTTAATTAAATTTATTTCTCTATGTATACTTAACCTATATATAATTGCTGGTATTTTTTATCCACCATATAATAGCTTAACATCTATGTTAATCTACATAGACTTTATGTGTCAGTAATTAAAAAAAAAATGTGCCCCTAGCCATTAAGTCTCTTAATCTGATGTGTGATTCTTCCCTATTTTATCCTAGCTATGTCTTATTTGCCTTTAGTCCTTTATTTGATTTATTTAGTTTTATGAATTGATATTTAAATTTGTTAAACCGTTATTTTTATAACATGTATATCTTTTATGTAACTGTGATCTATGTTGTTGCAATAAATAAATAAATAAATAAATAAATAAATAAATAAATAAAATGGGCTACAGCCCTCCCCCATTCCCAGACGCCCTAACTAGTCTCATATTTTTTTTTCTGTTAAAAAGCAGATAAATATAAAATACACGTATCTGCAAAAACTGGCAATGGTGCTACAATTAAACATGTCTTACATGAAAGATTGCTTTATGCAAATTATGTAGTGTTCAAGAAAAGACCCTGATGGAAGTCAGTAAATCCTTTTTTATTCGAGCGTGGACCCAGGTCTGCTGATTGAGCTTCCTATCATAAAATTCGTTCATTTAAGACACGAACTGTATGCCTTGAGGCAAATTAAACGACATCATCTAATAGATATTGATGAACAACGTTTTCATTAGATTACTTTACTGAGTAACAAGTCTAAAAAAGGTAGAAACAACCCCTTTTGATGTGACGATGGTACATTCTACTCGTAAATTAAGCTAGTGTCTTAATTACTTTTGAACTCTTTTCTTTACATAGAATATGATGTAAAATTTTAACCAATAAGCATTTCAAAAATCATCTCTTTTTTTAATGGTTTATAATTATTTTATTTTTTTTCTTCCTGTTTGGCAAGAATACCATTTTATTTTCCTGAAGAACCATGGTGGCTGATTTGTGCCATTCGTGTTTTCGATGCAGATTGATTATTAAAACTTCGCCCCGCGGGGACACGGAGCGAGATTTAAAAAATATAACGGCGGCGGCGCGGAGCGAAAACACACTTATTAGCGCCCTTGATAAAAAGCGTGTTTTCTCTTTGCGCCACCGCCATTTTAATTTGTTAATTCTTGAGTTTTCGCTTCGCAGGGCCGCGGGGCCAAACCACGCTAATAAGTGGGGGCGCAGGGCGAAGTTTTATTAATTAAATTTCGCCCTGCGCCCCGCTAATTAGCGACTTTTCGCTCCGCGCCCCGATTTTTTAACTTGTTATTTCTCGACTTTTCGCGGTCGCGGAACGAAAACACGATTGTCCCATATCAGCCACCATAAAGAACTCTTTCTCCTGCCTGTATTATGCAGCTTTATTCATTTAAGTATGAAGAGAAAGTTCTTTTACAAGGTTAAACATTTGAGCATTATATGCTATGTGTATACATTGTATTATATGTTTATATGTTATGTCTTATTTAAATATCATGCAATTTTAAAGCAAATAAAGATACTTGTGATATATGTGATTGCGAACAGGTGAAAGGTAAAATAAGTTAACATAGTTCCTTTCAATTTTACACTGAACTTCGCATAAATGATAAATACCTCAAGAAGCCCAACGAAATTAATCTAAATGTCCATCGGAATTTAACTGTAACGTTCAACTTAAAAAAGAGTGGGCTTCCTTCATTCATTATTTTAGGCAGAATTATATTTTATCCTTAACATCTTTTTTAATTTTAATTGTTGGTCACTGCCATAACAGCCAATGTATTGAAATATATACACATATAGTTAATTTAGTTCCAATTGAAAAAAAAAATTCGCTCAAATTGGTTTGTGTTGTAATTTTCTTATATTGCACAGAACGTACATAACTATACCTTGTTTTAACTTCTTTAAATATCATCTGGAAGTTTATATCTATCGTTGTTTTAATTTCTCTTTATCTCATCAGAAAGTATATACGACTCGTACTTGAAACAGAACCTGGTTTCGTATATAATGGAAAACACAATTGTTAAATTGCATTAAATTAAATTAAATAAAATATACCCCGGATCGTCTACGAGGGCTAATTTCAAGGTTCCAAAAAGAACAACAACAAAAATAAAAACAATGGAATAAATAAGATGTAAACAGCTCTTTCCAGGAAAAAAAGTTCGTCTATTTTTTTCTTTTAACCTTGATAAACATATTAACCGGATACAAATGAACGCAGGGTACGCTGATTGGCTGAGTCCAAGAATGAACTGAGGGCGTCGATTGGCTGGTTGGATAAAAATAGATCGGCTGCCGGTGAGGGGAGCCCTCTCATTGGACAATTTATTTATACACTTTTCCGATAATGTGCTTTAAAAATGACCAATGGGCGAGCATATTTGTTAATGATTTCAGGGACAGGATTAAGGTAGGTGTATACCGTATATACGTAACATCTCGACGATTGTCATTCTTTAAAGTCAAAGAATGATAAAAAAAGGGTGAAACGAAGAGATATAGAATTTGAAGGCGATATTTAAAAAAAAAGCTACAAACAATGTCAGGTCATCAGTACTTTTGACTTGTAAAAACTATAATAATCAGTAAATAAACAATATTCAGTTCAATACTGTACTTGAAAAACTAATACTTTAATACATTTATAATTAATTAAGTAAAAAACGGAAAAATTAATACTTTATCGTGATGACATTTATTTTCGCTTTCATGTTTTCATCATTTTACCAATTATCGCCAATTTGATAATTCTAATGCCTAGCAACCGGTTTCTAATTTATTTCTTTGTTTATTCTTATTTATTTGTTAATTCTTATTTATTTATTTGTTTATTTATTTGTTTATTCTTATTTATTTTATTTGTTTATTCATTCATTCATTCATTCATTCATTCATTCATTCATTCATTCATTCATTCATTCATTCATTCATTCATTCATTCATTCATTCATTCATTCATTCATTTATTTATTTATTTATTTATTTATTAATTTCATATGCATGTATTTATATATAAATTACAAATTTTGCAACAAAACGTAAACATAGAGAAAGAAAATATCTAAAAAGAGGGGTATGCCAAACCTTGCACTTACGGCCAGGCATATCAAATTAGATGTAATTGTGAACAGATATTAGACTTCTTTGATTTCATCTGTTTTCCAAGAACAACATGTCTAGCTTATTTATATATAATTAGATCCTCGCGGCTGTTCACAATTGGTACAGATTTGGAACAAAGTAAGGTAGGTCTATTTTGTCTCAGATTTTCGAGTGTAATTAATAAATATTTGTTTCTTTTTGCTTTATAATCGTTTCGTACTTAATCATCTCAACAAATAAATTTAATTGCACGTGTTGTTGAATCTATGTTCATGGGGAAAAAATTCATTTGTAACTACTTTTTCACATAACACGTCACGTGATGCATTTGATGTTACTATTTCGCATAACACGTGATGCATTTGTTGTTACTATTTCACATAACACGTGATAAATTTGATGTTACTATTTTCGCATAACACGTGATGCGATTTTTTCTTCTCTCTCAAGCTAATTCTAGTTTCCTACTTTTTATACGCAGTTTGTTATGTCCCTGATTATTTCGACTTTGTCTGATTTATGTCAGAAGATTGCAACGATATTAAAAATCTTCTTTTAGAGTATTAGGTCAGACTCATGCATTGATTTTTCCATAGACTTACATTATGAGAAATCGTCTTTAATTCTACCTTAAAATTTGAGTTTTCATGCTAAAGAAGTAATTGTCTAGCAGAATAAAGGGCTAGCCAACCATTTTATCTTTTTTATATTTTATATATATATATATTTTTTAAATTTTTTATTATTATTATTTTTTTTTTGGCAAAATAACTTCAAAGATTCATCGATTTTTTTTCTACCGATGACAGGACTGAAACACACTTTAAAAAAATGCAAACATCCAATTCACAAATTATGCTAGAGATTTCATTTTCTTTAGAAAACAATGCAGTGTATGTTTTCATTCTTAACAACATCCTTGCAAATTTTTTGCCAATCTCTGGCAATGTTACAATGCGTAAGTTATTTTTCAGCCAATCTCTGGCCATGTTACAATGCGTAAGTTATATTTCAGCCAATCTCTGGCCATGTTACAATGCGCAAGTCTGATATATGAGTATAATTATGACTGTACTTCTTATTTTTATACATTTTTTCGTGCCGTTACTTTATAGTTTCTTACACAGCCTAATTATAAATTTGAATTTCACTTATATTTCATCTTGGTCTTAATTGTTTAAAACGAAATGGAGCTACTTACATAATAATAATGATAACAATAATCATCATCATCATCATCATTATCATCATTATTCTTAATTTTCACAATTGAGTAACGAAAACAAAACAAACAAACAAAAAATAATAATAATAAAACAACAAAAAGCCGGGTGCGCTAAGAAAAAAAACAACAACAACAACTACAAAAACAAAAACAAAACTCATTCACAAGAAAAACACATCTGCAATAAACGAAAAAAAAAGTTCTGACAGGCACAAAAACAAAAAGAAACATAATATGCCGCTCTTAAAAGTCGGAACCACGAAAGTCTTTCGCTGCTCATGTAGCGAACGAGTGATATGTGTATAAATTCAAATTTCTTTAACCGAATTTTTTATATTAACTATAATATACGGAATACCGTGAGGGTCATCGTGGGTTTACGTTAAATACCAAGGGCGACAATGCGATAGTGCGACAGTGCGATGACGAAAATATGACAGTGCGATGACGACAATGCGACATATAGCGATGGCGATAATGCGATGACGACAAAACGACAATGCGATAGTGCGATGACGACAATGCGACAGTGCGGTGGCGACAGTGCGATTACACTATCGCCCTGTCGTCATCGTACTAACGCGTTGTCGCACTGTCGCCATCGCACTGTCGCATTGTCGTCATCGCACTGCCGTATTGTCGTTATCGCGCTGTCGCACTATCGCATTGTCGACCTCTATATTTTAACGTATAACCACGATGGCCCTAACGGTATTCAGTAATAATACTATATTAATTCGTTTACTTTTTTTGCAGGAAAATAACGTAGATTGTGGATCAAGTAAAAATCTGTAAAGTATGGACCTCTTTGCTACGGCAATGTCCGCTTTGGCTTGCATGCTAACCACGCTGTGCTCTGGTGTGAGAATAGGTCTCCCGGAAGATCATGTTGACGTCAGCTCCTGTTTCCACCGAGCATGTATATCAGAACACGGTAATCAAATATTCCTAAATTTCATAACTTCTTTAGAAGTGTGCGCATGGAATTTGCAACTCGCCCTCTATATATTGAATCCAGGTTATTAATTCCTGGTAGAATCATTGACAAATGAAGAAAATCAGACGTAACAAGAAGTATCAAAATGGGGGATGAAGCATGGTTAAAAGAAATCAAATATCTGAGGAACTTGATTAAAAAGTTCGTTTTCGAAACGCCTTTAGACTATTCAAGAATTTAGCTATAATATATACATTTCCGAAAGTTCCTTTAGATTATTTTAGAAAGTCCAATTTCATTTTATAACTCTACAATGACCAATGTAAATATTCTTCCCTGTTCTTCCCTGTAAATTTTACAGGACTTGAACTCGTTCTGCGCAGATGGGAATTTTCGCACAATATGAGAAATAAAATTTAATGACAAAAAAAAAAATAAAAATAAAAAAAATTTAAAAAAATCAGCATTTAGATTAAGAGAGCAGCATAGAGAAGTGCGGCTTTCGTATGCAAAATTTCATACTATAGGGTATAACGTGCATGAAAGAATTTAATTTCTGTGCTCTGTAATTAATTTACATAGTGACTTGCATTAAAATGGCTATACACCCATGCCGTAGCCGATGTTTGAACCCAAAAGCCGAGCTATAACTATAAATAACATGTTATGTATGTTTTGTTTTTAATTGTTTTCATCAAATTTTATGTATGTTTTAAAATACCCACGCTGTGCATATTTCATTTCAAATATACTCGACAACTGCAAAGGTGTCCGAATTCGATATGTATATTATTTATCAATGTGATCAGTAATTGACATCTTGATGAGCAAAGCTTTCTTAAATAGCTCTCAAAATTGATAAACGATCGAAAGAAAGGTTCAAGTTATTGATTAAGGTTCAGTGACCGGAAGTAGCAAGCGCTTGTGATCACAAAACGTTACAAACACAATTAATTGAATAGACTTGCAAAACATGATGCCACTGTAAATTTGCAATGATTGGTTCTTTTTTAATTGCTTACAGCAAATTGATATGAGCCGCTCCATGACAGAACCAACGTAATGCGTTTGCGACCAGCATGGATCCAGACCAGCCTGTGCATCCGCGCAGTCTGATCAGGATCCATGCTGTTCGCTTACAAACCCTATAACAAGTAGAGAAACTGATAGCGAACAGCATGTATCCTGATCAGACTGCGCGGATGCGCAGGCTAGTCTGGATCTATGCTGGTCGCAAACGCATTACGTTGGTTTTGTCATGGCGCGGCTCATATGTTTTAACAATCATACCTTTTTAGACTGGCAGGAGATAGGCGAGAAATGGCACATTTTTAGAGACACAGTAAAGTTTCTGAACGACAGCAGTTCGTATGATAAAAGGTAATATCTTATCAGTTTATACATATATAAGACAAACCTCCATCTAAAAACTGGATTATTGTTGTGTCAACACTAAATCATAAAGATTGCACTGTTTCTTCAATATAACGTGACGTTTTATCATATACTTATAAATGAAATATTGAGGAATATTGATCAAATAAAATGCGTGTTTTCGTTTTCCGTATTTCCAATCCAACTTCACGAATTCAGAGACAAAGATACCGATCAGCATCTCTGATAAATTTAACTTTATGAATTCACGTTTCTAACTTCAAGATTTCAACTTCGTAAATTCCGATTTCAATAATTTACTTCGTGAATAATTGATTTAAATCTTCGTGAAGTTGTTATTATGAAGTTCGAAACATCAGTTCATGAAGTTGAATTCATGAAGTTGAAATCGTTAATTCATTAAAATGAAAATCGTGAAGTTCAAAACATTAATTCGTGAAGTTTATTTCGTAAAATTGAAATCGTGAATTCGTGAAGTTGAAATCGGGAAATCATGTACTCCCTATGTTGAAAAGTTGAAATTATGAATTCACGAAGATGAAATCGGGAATTCATAAAGTTGAAATTTCCCCACTGTTCTTTCGTAGTTTAGCCATGCATTCTACTATATTTTCATGACAGATCTGTAATATGGCGAAAGTTTCAAGAAGGTGATATATGGAATAAAAACAATGCCCAAGCTGCCAACACCCTGAAGGTAAATATCTTTGTGCTATTACATCATTCTCAAAATACTCCTTTATTTGAAATTTATAAAACAAAATGTGTTTAAACATTATAAACTATTTATTGTTCAGTTATAGATATTATGTTTATGCAAATATAGCTTTTAATTATCAATTTGAAATTACAATTCATACGTATTTTGCTATAAGAGTTGAACCATACGTATTAGCGATTAATTTAAGCACATCACGCAGCTTCTCGTTGACTTGAAGCAACATATAATCCGACTCATCACATAAACGTCCCTATGACAAGTTCGATTCATCTTATAAGCTTTTAAATGACTTGGAGCAGCCTACTGTTCGATTCATCACATAAACATCGCTATGACTTGGAGTAGCCTCTAATTTGATTCATCAGTTAAACTTCTCAATGACATGGAGTAACCTACAATTCGGCCTATGACTTAGTACGGAAGCGTAGTACGAATAAACTCCTACGAAGAAGATAAAAAAGCCTAATAAGGAGTTTGTAACTCCTACGTAGGACTTTATAACTCCAACGTAGGAGATAAAAAAAGTCTAATTAGGACTTTATTACTCCTACGTAGGACTTTATAACTCCTATGTAGGACTTTATAAGTCCTACGTAGGACTTTATAACTCCTACGTAGGAGATAAAATGCTTAATTAGGACTTATAACTCCTACGTAGGACTTTATTACTCCTACGTAGGATACATATCAAAGTACTGAAAGAACAGAGTTCGACGGACATGTATGCTAGAGTATAACTTAATTAAGATAGCATATTATGTAGGAAAATAAATTATATGTGTCAAGTTGTAATTGTGGCAAGCCACTTTAGTAAATACCCTTAGTCTGTAGCCAGAGATTTTGTCATTCTCTGCATATATTAAACGATGATTCTGTATTATGTACGTTAAGTTATATTGATTATACACATGTACACAAAATGTATGGGTTAAACTTTTTCAAAGTAGGATATAATTCATTATTAAACATATGCATGCATAATGCTCCTCAAACCGTTTTCTTCTTAAATTTAACGGAGCAGGAACAAGACACTTCACTACTCCCCCTCCCCCTATAAACGGCCGAAAATGGATAAACTGCTCGTTTTGTTCAGCTAGTTCGTATGGAAAAAGTAATCGTTAAAGCCTTTTTAATTTTTGATATATTCTTATTTTAGAAATGCTTGTTATCGAGTTAGTTTTTCGAATAGCTGTAAAGATATTTTTCGGGATACATTGCCAATGCTTACATACACCTCACTCTAAGACACTGTACACTCTAGAAACCTGAGACACTTTATTAAAAGGTAAAGTGTGGCGGCATGGCCGTGTGACTAGTAACTTAATGATCGCTAGCCGCTAGGCTTTTTTTCATCTCCTACGTAGGAGTTATAAAGTCCTACGTAGGAGTTAAAAAGTCCTACGTAGGAGTTTTAAAGTTATTAACTCGTAATAAGGCTTTTTTATATCTCCTACGTAGGAGTTATAAAGTCCTAAGTAGGAGTAACAAGTCCTACGTAGGAGTTATAAACTCCTAATTAGGCTTTTTTATCTCCTACGTAGGAGTTAATTTTTTTTTATAGAACATTATGAATTGGCACCAGGACGCTTCCGTAACTTAGGGCACCTATATATCAAACAAATCAAGCTTTCCGCACATCCCTGCTTTCGAAAAAAGCCCTGATAAAACCGGAATTTGATTTTTTTTCGACCATTTGGCTGGTTCATACAATATGAAATATAATACTGAATAGTAATAATGAATTATCATAATTATTAAAATCATGTTCTTAACTGTTTCTATTTTAGAATATACGGACAATGATGAATCATATTGACCATACTACGGAAGAGATGAAGGCTGTCCAGCTAAAAGACTATTCAACAAGGTAATCTCTTTTCTTGAGATATAAAATCTTTCAAGCTGCCTAGTTGACAATATCTTTAAATGTTTTATATGTTGCCATGTGATTGATTTTTAAACATACTTTTTATTACATAAACAATAATAATCACTTTTGATATATTATTCATTATCTCATTTAAACTTGTATGAAACAAGCCCCAGAAGTTGTTATAATGCTGACTTATTTACACGCAATAAGCTATCACCTTTCCTGTATTAGTTGCATAACTTTTATTATAGGAAAACGAAACATTACCAATAAAGACAATAAGTACTGTCATTAACAGTGCGGCAATACCACGTGACATTGACGTCATTTTCGGCATCATTTCCAAGACAAATATTGCTCGATTCGGAAAAGAAAATAGCCGTAAATATTTTATTTATGTATCAATTTCTTTGGGATATGCACCAGTCTACGGGGAAAAATATATGCTTTCCACAGAATATTGAATCTTCGTCAGTTTATAAGCCGTTTTATCAAACACTTTGCATAACCTTGGAAGTTGCTTGTATTAGAGGAAGGAAACAAGTTAAGGAACAATCAGTTTTTTCACAATCTCTCTGTAAAAGATCAACAATGAAAAACTAAATTGTAGAAAGAGAACGGTAGGCATGTTGCTTCGCATTTGCAACTGATTCTAAAATCTGCTTTAAACTGTAGTCTTTTTTTTCGACTTGGAACTGGTGCCAGAATTTACAATTGAAGAAAAATATAAGATTTATGTCATTCTTAATAAAAATATGAACATATTTAGGTAGAGGTTTGCCTTCCGTACTCCCGGTTCATGTAAACCTGACTTTTTATTCATGGCGTAGACCAGATAACGCCAGAAAACGAAATAGCTTGCAACTGAAGCCCGCTCTGATACAAGCAACTTCCAAGGTTATGCAAAGTGTTTGATAAAACGGCTTATAAACTGACGAATATCCAATATTCTGTGGAAAGCTTATATTTTTCCCCGTAGACTGGTGCATATCCCAAAGAAATTGGTACAGAAATAAAATATTTACGGCTATTTTCTTTTCCGAATCGAGCAACATTTGTCTTGGAAATGATGCCGAAAATGACGTCAATGTCACGTGGTATTGCCACACTGATTAATATTGTTTCCTACTTTTTACATCTTAACCATAACCGCCTCCGTGGTCGAGGGGTTAGAGTCGATGACTTCTAATCCAGTTATCTCTCTGGCGTGGGTTCGATCCCCGGGAAATGCTTTGGTAGTTTAGCGCGGAGGAAGGTTGTCTAATACTGGTGTAACTCTCCAGGAACGATGGTTAGGAAACTACCCGCCTATATGATTGAAATACTGTTGGGAAAAGGCGTAAAACGAAACAAACAAACAAACATCTTAACCAATTTAAATTCACTTTTATCTATACTCTTCAGTTTTAGTTGTATTCAACCCCATTCTACTTAAATCAGTTGTCCACATTGATCCTTTGTCAACATGGATTCATTTATCCCCTGTGTTTTATAATCTCTCATGTGCATTATTCTTTAGTCTACATTAATTTCTTTGTCAAATCAATCACTATACGAATTGACCTCCATATTATTCGTTTGTCGAATTAAAAATCGTCTTCATTAGTTCTTTGTTTACATCAATTCCTTGACTACATTAATCGTTTGTCTATATATTTAGCATGGAGGTTAGTCATGACGAGTAAATGACCCCTATCGATTTTGAGGTCACCAGGTCAAAGGTCAAGGTCACAGGGGCCTTGACTTCACAAAGCTTGTCCGCCCAATAACTTATAAGATTCCTTTGACCCACAGTCTTCATATTTGGCATGCAAGTTAGTCATGACAAGTAGATGATCCCTATTGATTTTGAGGTCACCAGGTCAAAGGTCAAGGTCACAGCGGCCTTGAATTCAAAAAGCTTGTCCGCCCAATAATTTCAGATTCCTTTGACTCACAGTCTTCATATTTTGCATGAAAGTTAGTCATGACGAGTAGATTTTGACCGCCCTATTGATTTTGAGGTCACCAGGTCAAAGGTCAAGGTCACAGGGGCCTTGACTTCAAAAAGCTTGTCCGCCCAATAACTTATAAGATTCCTTTGATCCACAGTTTTCATATTTGGCAAGGTGGTTAGTCATGACTAGTAAATGACCCCTATTGATTTTGAGGTCACCTGACCAAAGGTCAAGGTCACAGCGGCATTGAATTCAAAAAGCTTGTCCGCCCAATATCTTAAGATTCCTTTGACACACAGTCTTCATATTTGGCATGGAGGTTAGTAATGATTAGTAGATGACCCCTATTGATTTTGAGGTCACCAGGTCAAAGGTCAAGGTCACAGCGGCCTTGAATTCAAAAAGCTTGTCCGCCCAATAACTTAAGATTCCTTTGACACACAGTCTTCATATTTGGCATGGAGGTTAGTCATGATTAGTAGATGACCCCTATTGATTTTGAGGTCACCGGGTCAAAGGTCAAGGTCACAGGGACTTTGACTTTAAAAAGTTTGTCAGCCTAATAAATTAAGAAACCTTTGACCCACAGTCTTCATATTTGGCATGGAGGTTAGTCATGATTAGTAGATGACCTCTATTGATTTCTTGGTCACTGGGTCAAAGGTCAAGGTCACAGGGGCCTTGACTATAAAAGCTTGTCCACCCAATTACTTAAGATTCCTTTGACCCACAGTCTTCATATTTTGCATGGAGGTTAGTCATGCTTACCCCTTTTGATTTTGAGGATACTGGGTCAAAGGTCAACTAAAAGAAATTTTCCCCTCAATTGCTTAAGAATGCCTGTCCACAGTGTATTGATTTTGACATTTTCACATTTGAAGCATGTAGAATACATAACTTAGAATGCACTGGCTCAATTTTGGCAGGGACGTTGTCCTTGAGCTCTAAATGGCCACTGTTGATTCTGGTATGCGGGGGTTTTCACGCCACGACAGTGGCAGTTCTAGTTTATATTTATGTTTACGTCAGTTTCTTGTCTACATTTATCCTTTGTCTTCACTGATTTGTTGTTTACATCAATTCCTTGTCTGTATTGATCGTTTAATTGTCTTCAATTCTTTGTCAACAACAATCGTTTTTCCTTTTTCATTCTTTGTTAACATCAGTGCGTTGTCAACATAAATCGTTTGTCTTCACTTCATCTATGTTTACAACATTTTCTTGATTTTATTAATCCTTTGTTTTCATTGATTCTTTGTGTACATCATATTTATTGTCTACATTAATCCTTCATCTTCATTTATTCTTTGTTTACATCATTTTCCTTGACTAAATTAATCCCTTGTTCAAATAAATCTATTTTCTTAAATAAGTCTTTATCCTCTGTACATAAGCATTTGTCTACATCAATCCTTTGTCTTTATTCATCCCTTATCTTTATTTTGTCCTTTTCTATATAAAGTAAGGGAAGGGTTAAAGTTCAGCACGGAATTAACCAAAATGCAAGTACAACTGGAATGATTATGTTACTGTGTATTCTATATAAAGGTATGACCACCAGGCTATTATAATAATGGGAAGCGATATCACTGTGCAGAAGGCAGCGCATTTCCTGTACAACAAACACCCATTAGTGTCAACTTTGTACAAATACAACCCTGAAACAAACACGATAAATGTGATTCTTGGAGAGGAGCATTTTCTGGGAAGAAATAGCCGTGTTCAGGTATGACTTCTAGACATAAACCAAAATACATTGATAAATCTTTTTTGTATATTGTACTATGTTTATACGTATAGTTATTGATATAACCATTGTTATAAAAAAACGAACCCAGTAAGGAAACAACGTAACCATCTTATTGCAATATTTACGCCATTTTAAACGCCTTGATTCGATTTTGTACATGTTTGGAGGGTATTTTGTGCACAATATGAGGCCCATAGCCCTAACTCAAGCAATAGGGCCTGGATATTTCTGCGTGGCATGGTCTTTTTTGGACCGCCCCTTTGCTTTTTTGCCCCACTCTATAACCGTAACTCAAACTTTCTTACATGGATAGACAATCTCATAATCATAGACAGTATATGACACTCATGCCGTAGCAAACAATGTATTTGAATATCATTTTTATTCACGGAAGGAGCCGGTGTTTTACATTTGTACGATGACATCTGCATTGAACCTTAGTATTTAGGGTGCAAATTCTTGTTGGGTCAACTTTTTTATTTTTCTTTAAAAATAATTGCTCTATCTCTCAGGTCCTTGTTTAGAAGAAAATACTGTTGAACTTTAATTAAATACATGTCATTATTATAATCATATATTGGCTAAAAAAGCTTTATTTAATATAAAAGAAGTATGATACGTCTAATAGTCACAAATCTACACAATTAAAGTAGTGTTTGTTTTTCAAGATCGACAAATATACCTCTGAAAAACTTTGAACTGCGCCATCAATCTAGAAAATTTTAGCATGTCATTGACCAATTATCAATTTAAAACATTTTTCACAACGGTGATATCACATAAAATTTCAAGTTTCTATTTTTTATGAAAGGAGACCTACTAAAACTTAACGTACGATATTTATGATATGTATACATTTTTGATAAAGTTTTCCTTTTAAGGAACGCAACAATGTTGTCTTTTGTTTTTCCGTGTGTTTATTAGAGCAATGGACGTTTCTCAATTCAAAATCTCACAATTTTTATGTTAAAATGTTAAATTCTGCTAAAGCCGGTGCTACGGGGCATGGACAGTAACTTTTCAGTACCGTCAAAACCACGATCAATCAAACCAAATCTGCAGCATTTTCAATTTTGTCGTTTTTGGCGTTCTTTGAGGATTCCGTTTTTTTCTGTTGTATTGCCAAATCAGTGTTATTTGTGCCGTGTTTAGGCCACAAAAAGTCGCCCTGTACATATAATCAAAGATGTTATATTTTCGATCCATAAAAATCGTTCAGCTCGACATAATTATCGTGTGTAAATGCTTGTAGTATTTTTGGTTCATTCTCCCTTTTTCAACAGGTGTGGTTCTAGTATTCCTACTTGAATACTATACAATTACCCTTAGGATATGGTGCCTATTTTTAAATTTGTTTGTTTCGTGTGTTTGTTGTTGTTGTTGTTGTTTTGAAGTCTTATCTGTGATACACAGGCTTCATAACCTCTGAACTCCTTTCAAAAACACATTTTGTTGATATCCGCCGATTGCTTTCTCGTTTATGACTCACAATTTCTTTAATTTCGTGACCTTATGCCGCTTTTAGTGGAATGTCACGAAAGTCTCGCATTGAAGGTTCTGTGATAAACGCCGCATGTTTCCGAACTCAAAATTTAAATGTTGAATTCGGTGCTCGGGGGCGTTGACGGTCGATAGCTTGCACTCACCAGTATCGTCCATGTACCGGCTCGATCAAACCGAGCCTGCAGCGATTTCAATTTTGTAGTTTTGGGTTTTAAGGGATTCCGTTTACTTTAATTAAGTTACCCTAAAAATATTTGGTAACATGTATGCTTGAAAACATTTCTATTTTCGAGTAAGATATTTATCAATGAATTTTGTCATGAATTAAACGTAAAGAAAATTTTCATTCAGGTAAAGATATAGTTATCGGATTACATTTGACCTATTAATATTTCTATCACCAACAACCTTTGTGGATTGCATCGACTCTGATCTGGTGGAAGAGAAACAACATGATGTTAATTATAAGGAGTGAAAAACATTCAACAGTTGAAAGTATCAAAATATTGCAACAGATATAAGTTGAGACACATTTAAAAGCTAATTTAAGTTTTGTTTTAAATAAAAGTTTTGAATTTATCTATTTGATAATATTTAAATATTTTCACTATTGAATACTCATTTTGGTTATATTCAGATTGTTGGCCATGGCAAAAACACCTTTGGTGAAATGAGACTTGCAGGAAAGACACCAAAAGAACTTGCAGAAATAGTACATAAGTTACCAATACAAATGTCTGAACTAGGTCGAATAAGTCTCGTTGGTTGCAACATTGGAAATGATGGTCGATCAGAATTTCTCAATGATGGGTATACGGAACAGTTTTTAAAATCTTTAAGATTTGATCAAAGTATCAATGCAGAAGTCAGCTCTAGAAATGGGCTTATTAGTATAACTGCTTCAGGCAAGAAAGAAACTGGTAAAATTGAAGCTGACGGAATAAAATGGTTCAGTAAAGACTCACTTAGTAAAAAGATAATAAAGCTTGATGGCTTTAATGAAGTAATTCGCATTGAGTTGCCTGTCACTGAAGGTCTTGCGTCATACAATCTAGAATCTAGTGGAGCCTTAGTTAAACTTACAGACATCAATTATTATTCAAATAAACAAACGATCTACTTGGAGAAGAGAAACCAGGATACCAATGAACCGAACTTACTTAAGGTATTGGAAGCTAAAGATATTGATATCTACATTAAAACTTTAACCAAGACTAACTTTTTACATGATACTGCATTTGTTGAGAAGAAAATAATTGATAAAAATATAGAAAAAATACGAGAGAAAATTCAGAGTACTGTAGTAAACGGTGAAATATCCGAAGAGAATAAGGTTAATATTCAAAGCTTGAAGAAGGAGATAATAGAGTTTCAACCGGGTAAGATAAGTTATCACGAATTCGTTGGAAATGCATACCTTTCTGATAAATCGAATAAGCGGATATCGGATGTATTTGATTTTAAAATACACTCTGACGTTAATGGAAATCTAAATATGATTATGACATCATCGACATCATCGGTGAAGAAAATAAGCTTCCTTCTTGACTCTGGTACTCCACCTAACTGGAAGTACGTTGCAAGACTTGATAGAAACTTTAATCGAATTATAAAAGTTGAGAATGTCCGTGAAATAACTAGTAGGGCTGATCTCATACATGAAATCAATATGTTTGGAGCATTTGGTATAGATACGAGAAACATGGGCTACTTAAACAAATATTATCTATTTGGTGATGTTGTGTACAAAATGGCAAGAAGAAATTTTTATATAACGTGGGAAGGCATGATAGCATCCGATATGCCGGTAAGACTTGAACATTTTCATGATAAGCCAATAAATGAAAATGAGATTCTTCATCTGAAAAACTGGAAATGGTTAGATAGCCAAAATCGATATATTTTACCTAAGGGTTTTAACTTGGAAACATATCGAGATATGAGAAATTCAATCAAAAATGAATATGCAAATAGAAAAATCCATGAAATAGTTCAAAGTTTGTCTGAGGAGGGAACATTTACAGTAACAAGCAAGAAAATTTTTGTAGACGACGTTTATTTTACTTTGGAAGGACAAAGCGGGTCAAAACGTTTTAGGAACTTTAGAGAGAGTTTATATCCAGGAAATGTGCTTAACCTGATGGGTAATTTCATGAACGGCGAACATATTAATATCAAGCAAAATCAAATGCATATATTGGAAGGTTCAACTGTTCTTGCAATTGCACTTGCAGAAACTATTCGGAATTTTCGGACATTTTCTATAAACGAAATGATGATGAATATAAACGCAAGAGAACCGATATCTCTTCATACGCTGATAGAATGCAATCCCATGACACGTGGAAAGAGCTGGGGATATATTGGCAATACAGGATTAACAGTCAATGAAATAAATCATAAACAAATCGTTTTACCGAGAGAGCTTAATATTGCAAGAACGTTTTTATTAACACAAAAAGGTGAGGATGGTCAAAATAACAAATATCGATTCTTGACAGATACAGAATATAACCAGTTACGGAAAGAAATGCCACCAGAAAAACTTGCACGAATTACTTTTCCTATTACAGAAAATGAAATGCACAACACAATAATTGACTATAAACCTGAAAATACTGATCGTATTGTTAGAACAAACCCGTTAGGTGATCATAGTTTCCCAACAGTTAACGATGTAGAAGTATTTACTGAAAAATCAATGAGTAAGGCCATGCCAATACGTGCTTCTGTGGCTATGGTAAATGATTACATACATGTCATAAATCACGTGAGCAAAGTAATAGCACAAAAAAGTCAGGTATCAGGAAAGGATCTCGAAATCATTCAAAGCACAATAGAATTTGAAAATGGGAATGTTAAATTATTTGTCAGAGACAAATCAAACCCAACTGACAAAATAGAGTTAAATATTGAAATAAACGAAAATATTCTTGAAACAAATTGGATAAAAAAAGAAACTTCGAAAGAGATAGACCATGTTCGAGAAATGAAAAGTTTTCCACCAAAGTCACTGACAAAATTGAATGAATTTCTTGGAGTTTATGGAATCGTGATGGGATTCAGAGGTGCTGTTCAAGATTTCGAAGAAGGAAAGATTGGTGAAGGTATTGTTAACATAGCTCAAAGCGTCCATGGAATATACGGAATGAGTCAGTCAGCCCAGAGAGTATTACGAAGAATCACAAGTAAGATTTTTTCCGCCGGGCTTCAAAAAATTGAAGCTGGTTTAGCAGAGGTTTCGACAAGAATAAGAACATTTTTCTCACGAGGAGAATTAGCGGTTAGTGAAACGTTATCTGCAGCTGGTCGTGTTGCAGGAGACATACCTGTTATTGGAACTGCGTTTGGAATTTACAACACAGTGCAAGACATACGTAGAAAAACAACAATCGGTTACATTGACGCGGGATTGGATGCAGCCATAACTATTTCCGCACTATTTGGACCAGAAGCCCTGATAGTTACAGTAGCTTTGACAATTGTTAGACTTGTTATAGACGATTTTTACTATGCAATAAGCAACGAACTGAAAAATTTACCGTCAGACGCTTCTGCTTTGCAAAAGGTCGGAGCTGTTCTAAAAGGCATCGGCGAAGGTATAGTTATGACTATTAAAGCTTTTTATGATTTTACTTCTCTTGGATTACTAAGTTTTGCTGAAACGTACATCAATATTGACAAACGGTATAATGAAGAACATGCATTATTTCATAAAATGTCTGACTATCACAATTATCTTAGATTTGTAAAAGAAGGAAAACATGAAAAGGTGATAAATTTTGCAGCGGGAGATGCGTCGTGGAATGGCGGTAACATAATTTTCCAAATGTTCGATGACAATACTGCACGGCTTCGAATGCAAATTGTGGATGAAAATGGAAGAGAACGTAATCTTGACAAATTCATAGCTTTGGAGGAGGATTCAAACGATATCTTTTTAGGGATAGGGGAATCACATGACATTAGCTTCAAGAAAGAGTCAGCAAAACTTTTTTGGGTGATTCCAGTACATTCGCAATACCTCATCGATAAGATTAAAGGTGACCAAAATACATTGCACGGTACATATTATGGAAACTCAAAGGATAACAAATTCTTCACAGTCCAAAATCTGACAAAAGATACAAATTTAGGATACTCTTTAGCGGATTATTATTACGAAATATATGGTGAAGACGGAGATGATACGTTTTATTGCGGCCCACAGCAATCCATTGTTAAAGGTGGCAATGGGCGAGATACATACATCATACCTTATTCAGGAGGGAAGACAACGATAAATAATTATGCGACAGATTTAGAAGAAGACGTTCTTTTTATAGATGTACATTTTGAGCAAATACATGCGGATCGTCGTAGAAATGACTTGATTCTTAAACACGGTCATGAGCATGACATAACTGTCTTGAACTGGTTTTCTGGTCATCGAATGGGACATTTGACTTTCAAAGCAAAAGATGGTGTGATATTTAATGTTACAATCGGTGTTTATGGTAGGGCATTTATTGTCCCACTTGCAATTGTCTTAACTGGAACCACAACTGGTCATGACATAGATGTTTCTAGAGGACTTTGGGAACACGTGAAAATGGTTATAGGCTCCGATGCTTCAGACAGAATCGTTGGGAACAAAAATGACAACATACTTAATGGGGGTAAAGGGAATAATTCACTTTATGGAGAAGCCGGGAGTGACACATATGTGATTAGCTCAGCTGCAACTTCGGCGTGGAATGTCATAAATAATTTTGACACAAAACTGACTGTTGATAAAGTTATATTTGAGTATTCATATGAAGAAATCATTGTATCGAAAAATGATAATCATGTACGAATGGAAACTGTCAGAAATGGACCGACGGTTATAATGAATAACTGGTTTACAAATGAGTATTATAGACATTGTGTGTTTGTAACGAAGGACGACATCATATTCAAACTCTCGGATGACATAAATGAACCTAACATCCGTCAACCTATTATACTAGACGCTTCCAAAGAAACCACTTCTGTGGTATTAAATGCAAAGAAACGAGGCTTTGAAAATGTAACAACAATTATCGGGAGTAATTTCGATGATGTGATACTAGGAAGTAGCGGCAATAATTACCTTAAAGGCGGGAGAGGAAGCGACAAAATTACTGGAGGTGAGGGTAAGGACGTTTATGTAATACATAAGGAGGATATTGGAGATTTTATTGACAATTTTGCTGAGGATGGAAAAGACGATCTTTTGCTAATTGATTTCAATTTTAACCACATAACTGTCAATTCTCTGAACTTAGATGTGGTTCTGAAAGTAAAGAACAATCGTATCGTTACAATACAAAATTGGATCAAAGGGGAAAATTGGAGACACATTGTCATAAGAACGATTGATGGAATCAGTTTTCGGTTGGAAAAATCTGTCGAAAATATAATATTGAAGTCTCCACTAGAGATCGATAAGTCAGCAATGACTACAACACAAATTGTCAACACGAACAAAAATCGCATGCGCACGGTTGAACATATAATAGGGTCGAATGCTACTGATACATTGGTAGGAAACGAACATGCAAACAGAATTGATCCTGGTTTCGGTGGTGCCTATATGATGGGAATAGATGGCCATGATATTTATGTAATCAAAGATCATTACAAAGGCCCTAATATCATCAATAATTTTGCAAGAGACGATTTGACAGACACTATCAAATTACCTACGTTTTTCGACGATGTTTACACAAATATCAGCGAGAACGATATACTTCTTGAGTCAGTCTCAAACCCAAGCGCCTCTGTCACCTTGCAAAAATACAAAACTGATCCAAGAAGTCGACACCTGGTTATAAACACTATACAAGATGGTGTCGTATTTACAATTCCCCAAGAGCTTGATTTTCAGCCTACAGCTATTTCAATAGATCGGACCAACCAGGCTCATAACCTTATTATTGATCTAGAAAGTAAGGATTTGTGGAAAGAGGTTGTGACTGTTTTGGGGTCGAAAGAACATTCTAATGTTATAAAAGGAAATGAAAAAAATAATACATTTACCGGCGGAACACTTTCAGACACACTTGAAGGAGGTGATGGAAATGACGTCATTCGCGGTAACCAGGGAGACGATTTTATAGACGGAGGAAATGGTATGTAAATACGTGATTATGTAAATCTGTGTTGTACTTTGGTTTAGCTTATTTTAAAACTAGTGGATATTATTGACTTTAATAGGGTTTTGACTCAATGAAACTGTATAGGTAAGTCTCGTACCCTACTATCTTTGCCTGGTTTGATAATCAGTTGGTTTGCGCCAGTCTTGATGCCATTTCCCATTTTGTTGTCTATTTTTGTCCGTTGCCTTACAAAATGTATTTTCCGGTGTCATTTGGTGACGACTAGATGTTGTCAAACATTGCTCTAACTTGTTGACCTATATACACAAATTTGATAGCTTCCTGACATTAAAGAGTTATCAGCTATAGCGGGATTCGAACCATACCGGATAAAAGGGATGTGATTCGTAGACCGCTTTCGAATGGAACCTCCTCAGACCAACATATATAAGAATTAAGACTGAAAAGATTAACAAAGTCGCTGACTTCCAACTTCATTTTTTTAGGGTATCAGTACAGCAGTACATACGATCACTCTTTACCAGATATTTATACTCACTAGAGCCGGTGTAAAGCTCTATATAGCAACTTTAAAAGTCGTCAGGCTTTTAATCCAATTTTAGCTATAACTTTGTGATTCATTGAGATCTTAATTTCCAATACTTTATAAAAGTAGGCGTTAGTTTGGTATTAAACGATGAAAAATTGGTGCTGGGCGGCGTTAGGTTGGTTTCAGGCACTGTAAAGTCGGTGGTAGGCGTATTATGTCGGTGCCAGGCGGCGTTTAGTCGGTGCTTGCCGGAGTTAGATCTGTGCTAGGAGGTGCTGATGGCATAAATGATGCTCCACTTTTCAATGTCTCTACCACCTGTTTTTTATTGATCTCCCTTTTATAGATGTTTTAATAGATGTTGCGAATTTAAGTGTTTCATATAAAATGTTACAAATTTTGTGTTTCGTTTTTTTTTTGTATTTTGTAACCTTTTTCTCTTTTTTTCATAGCAAATGAAGAACCTACGTAATAGAAATATTACATTTTTTTTTCTTTTAACTACACTGACGATCTGGTATGCTAAGCGAGCGAACGCCTATGTCACGTGAGGGTCTCCTGAGCTTAAAAGTGGAGCCCGAGTCGAAATATGTTAAATGGACGACTCAACAAGGCAGTGAGCAGAACAATGCTAATTAGGTTAAAGCAAGTTTAATGACGTAAACTGTATGCAGCCTTTCAGAAATGACGACGATGATGTTAAGATTTGCTTTTTAACCGTGATTGTTTTACTTAACATAGCTGCATTTTTTCGCTATCGCATTTAAGCAACATTATACGCTTTATGAAATAAACAATTTACCGGTTTATAATGCTAATGAATGTTTTTGGCTACACATGCTTTAACAAAATAGAAATTTGTCAATTGCAGCGTGTTTCGCAAAGACTTCATTGACCTCAGTAGGCCGAGCCAATTCAGACATCAATTTTTATAGTGTATATCTAAAATCAATCTGCTTTCAATTATACATTGTATGTTTTTTTCCCATTTTCCATAATTGTTTTAATCTTATATTAAAAAACGTTTTGTTTGTTACAAATGTATTTTATATATACATGTAGATATTTTGATGACTCATTTTCATCTTTTCATAATAAATCATATTAAATCATATTAAACAGAATTCCAAATATATTTGAAGGAGATGATATTCTAGCAGGAGGAGCCGGAAAGGACTGGTTGGATGGCGGTATGGGGGATGACGTCATATACCCTGGTCCTGATGCGGATTACGTGAACGGCGGTCCTGGATTCGACATTATTATTGTATCAGGTGACGCACAAGATATGAGTGGGGTGTATGTCGATTTACACAGTGGTCATGGCTACAATGGAGATGTCAATGGGGATATATATGTTAGTATAGAGGGCGTTATCGGAAGCTTTTATAATGACATGCTTGTAGGGACCAATTATGGAAATCTTTTGGATGGTAAAGGAGGCAATGATTTTATATCACCACTTGATGGAAATGATATTCTAGTCGGTGGTGAGGGAAAAGACATATATGACATCGGCAATTCCAAAGGCGAAAAAGTGATACGAAATTACGCTGATGACGGCATTATGGATTACCTTAATTTGAGAGTTTATGAACATAGCAGAATTACTCTTGAAAAACGTTACGATAGCCTTGTCATTCATATTGGAATCTTTTTAAACAATGTATTTTGTCCTTCGATAGGAATCGGCCCAATTCATATTGAACATTGGTACAAGCATCTTACCCACCAACATTTGACCGTTCAGCTAGCTGGGAGTGATCTGGTATTGCACTATTTTGATACTGGTGAATATTCTGTGGTACATGAAAGAGTGGATACAGGAGATCGGAACAAAACATGTGAAGTCTTGTTTTCCCAAATAGGTTATCAGGACTATAACGATTATTATTCAGAATATGCAGATTATTATTTTGGTTAACTTAAGCTTGATCTTGTTAAGAATAAACTTTAAAATATGTGCTATTTTGTATGTCACATTTTTGCTTTGCGAGGCGCTAATCAAAAATAAGATCAGAAAACGACAAAATGGTCACTTTGTCGTTCTTTCGTCTGCAGGGCGCCACACAAAATCACAAAAATACAACAAAGTGATGACTTTATCGAATTTGAACATTTTGACATACTTTTGTTCCTCGAGGCGCCAGCGAAAACACGAAAATACGACAATATGACCACTGTCGACAATATGACCACTGTCGACAATATGATTACTGTCGACAATATGACCACTATCGACAATATGATCACTGTCGACAATATGATCACTGTCGACAATATGATCACTGTCGACAATATGACCACTGTCGACCATATGACCACTGTCGAAAATATGAACATTGTCGTACTTTTTCTCTGCGGGCTGCAAGGCGAAAATATGACATGACATTAATCAGCTATCATATTTTTATACTTTACTCTCTTGACAGTTCCGTTCCTGATTAAATGATTAAGTGAACATACAATTTTTTTATAATTAATATAAAGGAATTTACTGTTAATTTCTCAAACTTAAAACAATAACATGCATTACCGTCCAGTGTCTGAGAGGTGTCGTTTAGAGTGTCTTCCTACAGTCTTCTTTTAAATATAACATAATAAAATTATTGTTGGTGACACATCATGCATAAAAGCTTCGGGCCACATGTATATTATAACATTTCTACACATCCAATACTAATATGATATTTATCATTTTTATTTTCCATGTTGAACTTTGAGGGTAGTCTAAATTAACTAATTCATGTATATTATGCTACAAAGTATTGAAAATCATTAGTGAGCAGTCTGTAATTCAAATCAATATACTAATGAGAGAAGAATTATAATAACAATTTGTAACGATTACTTCTTCTTCTTCTTTTGTTTTAAACACTTAAATGAATGTACTTCATCTGTATACATATATAGATATTAAGATTGTGGGGAAGGTTGCCTTGGCCACCTGTATATAGAGGTCATCGTGTAGTTGGGGATACATGTACACATAAATCCCGACTACCACTAGAGTCGAGTGTCGGGAATGAACTTGGTACGACCTGGGGCGCTTGTTGTCGAAGGAAGACCGTTATGGAGCTTCTGGGCCTCAGGTCGTTCTCTGGTTGAGTTCAGGTCCACGAAAGAATTGGAGGAGACAATCAGTTCCGGCTATTCTTTAAAGTATTTGTCTGAAAAAAATGTCTTATGTAATATGTAATTGGTACCTTAATATAAGGAATCAAACTAAATTTAAAAAGAAAGATCAGGCATGGAAAGCTTTTCTTAAATCACCTTTGACTAAAGGGAAGTAAATACATAAACATATGTTAGGTAAATTATATAAGTTATCCCTCTTTCTGTGTCATGATTTTATGAATGCAGTGCTAATGTTCGTGGAAATATTTTTGTCCTCTTCTTTAATTTTAAAGGTTTTTTTTAGCGTTTGTAAAGAAATGTAAGCTATGCTAATTACACATTACACGTAATTACATGTATAAGAATTCCTTTATGATACAAGTAGTTCTATTTTTAACTATTTCGTTAGGAGACATGTAATTGTGGTTTATTTTGACTGAAATAACCCTTGCCCTATGTGTATATTATTCCGCCTTCCATATACGTAACAAAACATTACTTTCATATATTTATTTCTCTGTCTGTTTTACATTATCAACCACGTGATAACCTAATAAACTTTCGTTTATCTTGCTGGGGACACTATGGCATCATGAAAATAACTTGATTTTAATAGTACTAACTTGATATCAATAAATACAGTTTGCTCCAGATGCTTGTCAAATCAGATATGCCAAATTCAAATTAAATTTGACAAATACATCTAATTAAATGTTTTGTATAAACAATGACTTGTCTTTTAGTGATATGAACATCGCGTGGCATTTCGTTTGAGTGTGGTGTTTTGAAAAGTTGGTTTAATACCAAACAGGCACAATAATCTGTAATCAAAACGTGTAAACTTGTAAAGATTTAATAAAAAATATACAGCCATTAATATGCAATAACAGTTAATTTTGAATCCCATATTTGCGTAGGAATGAAACTCAATATCAATAACAGTGATGAACCATTGTTTAAACCCAGATTAAGATTGTCCTACCAGGATGCATAATTATGTGGTTGTGCTTCTCTGTCTTTCCTCGCCATAAATCCATAGCATTGAATTTTCACGCATATCATTCTTTTGTCGCCGTCGACTTTGATTTTTCAAATGGACTTAATAGAAATTAAGATGTGATACTAGGACTTCCATTATCACAGCTATTCTTCTGTATTTAGAGAAACAAGAGCACTGCATAGGCGTTGGCGTGGCAATTACACCCGAATGCAAATTCGTGTAAGTCATTTAAATAAGTAGTAATCAAAAACAATTTTGAAGAGAGAGGATACCCAGTTATAACAAATGTCCGGAACATGTTTCATTTCAATTATCAATATTAAGATCTATATCAGCTATTCTCTTGTCACATGAATACTTATTGATTATCATATATGCTAAAGCTTTCGTTGTGGAGTACAGACCTCATTCACCATGCTCACGTCACCAGTGATGCCTTTTAAGAGCTAATTTGGAAGCACTGATAGGAGATGATTTACATCCATTCGATTGTCACGGAATATATAGATACTGACTGAAAACAACAATAATGTTGTCTTCTATTGCCATAAAGGAAAAAAACAAAACAAAAAAAACAACAACATATGAAACATATAAATAATATTAAACCAGAAATTCAAAGCACAACATATTATGTCTAAAAGTAATCGAAAATCACAATGCTATGCTCATGCTAATGATGTAAGTTCAAGGAAAAGACTTTTAATATCAGCACGCATTTTAACAATCTTTCAATTGGAGAAAACTAGAGCTTAACAACTGCTTGTACTCCAGATATCATTGAAATTAATTTCCAAATTTTGATAACATGCCTAAAAATGACATTTTATATGAATCATTTAAAACGTATTGTTATTTAGTGAATTTACATATTATAAAGTACACCAGTTTCAATTAATAATATTGTCTTATTTCAAAATAATTCCATCATATATAACCTATAACATTTAAAGAATTCATACTTTGTAATCCCCCTTTGAAGCATATGCACTTATATAAGTATTTTGGGTTTTGAGTGAGTCAGTGTGACCTTGACATTTTTCTTGCTGTGTATGAATTTACAACTTCATTTATAACAGCACAATGATGTAAGTAATAGAAAGAGTATCGAAAGACGAGACTATCTGATTTGTAAGAGGTGACGTAGCACCCGAGTATTAATCAGATTGCCGAGTGTTTTGATGTTCTTTCTCTTTTGTATCATAGTCAAACATAAAACACGTTCCCTGTTGTCACAATATGAAAAAAAAAATTGTAGGGAGGTGGGTTATGGGGTATGGAGGGGGTCATTATTAAGCTATTATTCTAAGTTGATCCAGCAACCTACCTTATATGCCAGCTTGATAGTTTTCAAACAAAATAGAATCAATTAAATGTCCCTGACCGACAGTGTACTCACATAGGTGAGGGGCTTGTGGTCTAAAGCCAACGACCTTAACCATTAAGCCACGGTTGTCCTTAGTAGTTATTTAGTATTTATAAAAAGACAAATAATCTGATTTAAAGTACAGTGCAACCTCTGTAGAGCGACCATCTATAGACTAATAAATTCTTTACAACAAAAGTTTTTAATTCTTCCTGAAGTAAAATTAAACCACTGCAGAGCCACACCTCATGGCGACAACCAAATCTTCGCTCGTAAAATATGTTGTGATAAAGTTGTGCTAAAGAAATTGAACGGAAATTAGCATACCAATGTTAAATGACAAAAAATAAATTGTCGATAGAAAAGTTGACAAATGATACAAGATTATACAGTCAAATTACACAAAAGTATTCAATCAAAAGAAAGGTTAACAAATTACGCAATCGTACATACAGCTACTAAAAAGTTGAAAAAAGACGCAAAATTATATACAGTCAAAAGAGAAACTGACAAGTAACAAAAGCATATGCATTTATTATAAAATTGAAAAATGACAGAAAAGTATACAAAAAATAGAAAAGTTATCAATTGATACAAAGAATTAAAGTCAATAGAACAGTTGAAAAAACATTATATAGTCGATAGAAAAGCTGGCAAAGGACACACAAGGTCCATAAAAAATTGACAAACGCCACAAAGGTCAATAGTAAAATAGACAAATAACGGATATACAGTCAACGGAAAAACTGAAAAATGACACAAAAGAGTACAGCCAAAAGAAAAATAGACAAATGACACAAAAGAATACAGTCAATAAAAAAGTTTAAAAAATGACACCAAATAAAAAGCCGAGAGAAAATTTGAAAAATTCACAAAAATATACAGTCTTTATAAATAATGACAAATGACACAAACATGTACGGTCACTAGAAAAATTGACAAATGGCACAAAAGCATGCAATCAATATAGTACAGTCCCTGGGGACCTTTTGTGTGCAAAAAAGGTCCATAGATAAATGTTATACCAATGTAAAGCTAAATGTTTGAAGTTTACAAAAATTTTGGGTAGACATGTCAAATCATGGTACGTTTTGAGAAATCCAAGATGGCCGCCAAGATGGCCGCCAAATTATTGAAAAATGGCTAATACGCATTTTATCTGATAAAATTAGTTCTTTTTTGTATTTATTTTAGTATAAATGTTGTAAGAACTTCAAATTCTATTGGAACAATATGAAAATGGAGGCATTTCCATAATTTTTTTCATATTCTTTGAATTTCATAGATAAATTTGCTAAAAAATGCATGAAAAAATTATCAAAAAATGATATGGGGCTGACATTTTTTCCTACCAGCTAAGGCATAGTGGTGTAAATGAATATTTTTACCATTAACTACAAAGACTTGAACAATATCATACTAATATCACCCTTATTTTTTATCTTTATTGTAAAAAATGTGGATTCTGATATTCTTAAAGTGGGTGGGGTAACGAAAATTAAGTCTCAGTATTTTGTTTACTGGTTTGTTATGATAATTAAAACTATGAATAGTCAACATGTATTGCACTTTGGCATGTACCTAAATCTATAAGTAATTAAGAATCTTAGACTGATATTTTGTTTAACAATATTCAGCATGTTCTGTTGCTATGGCAACGGAGAAGTAAAATGAAGGACACACCTGAAACTAATGACACTTTCAACTTTTAGCATTTTAAGCATGTTGATAAGAATGACACAAACTTAAAGATAAATAATCTGTACACAATGCCATGGTAACAAATAGAGAAAAAATTGTAACATTAAAAGAAGTCACATTTAATTCTAGCAAATTATTAACACAGATAACAGCCAATATTTTGAAATTAGATGAATAAATTTATTTCAAGAATTTGCATCATGCATTTGCTTTTTTCAAACTGCTATACATAAAAAAGGTCATGTCAAATGTGCATGTTGTTATGTTTGGAAAGGATAATTAATGGTGATAATAATAAGTAAAAGGCAGTCTTAAGGTAGAAATGTGTATAAACATCAAATGTTTGAAACTGTACACAGGGTAAACATTTAAGACTTTTAGCTATACGAGAAATAAGTAGGTCACTGGTTCAAATTTTAGGTCAACCAATATCAAATTTTAATGACAATCGAAATTATTGTTGAGTTCAAACTTTCTGGTTGTCGCTTGTATTATCAAACTCTAACTTGCATTAGATAAAATTCTAGGTCAACTGATCTCAGTGTATAATTCTGCATCTGAAATTTTACAATCTAAATACAAAGAGGTCACTAGTACAAATTAAGGTCAGCTGGCATGTCATATTGTGTCTGTTATCCAAATTTCTT